GAGGGATAATATTTATATTTATTAATATATACTTAATAGCTCTGTTTTATTACATCAAACACTGTTTTATTAACACCAGCACTATATATTATATTATATATATATATATATATATATATATATATATATATATATATATTTTAAACAGGAAATTATTATTAAAATGTTATTAAGGATCAAATTTAAAACTTTGTTGTAAAATTTGTGCATAAAAAATTATTTTACAAAACCATATTCATCTTTCATTTTTCCCCTTTTTGTAAATTTGTGGAAGTTTAAACAGGGATCCATAAAAATTAAAACCATCATGTGAAAATGTTCATCAAGTAGCTTCAACATAATGCCTAAAAATACCTCAATAAATATTTTTCTCTTTATGGACTTATGCACAACTTGCCAAAACCAAATGAAACGCATTCTCTTTTTATTTACAAAGTAAATGTAAAAGAAATAAATATGTAATGACAACAGACTACTAATGGTGCTTGTGTAAGAGTTGAGAAACCATGTACAGTCATGGAATGCACCAATTGAAACAAAGATGAATTGAATAATTAAAGGGTAGGAAGAAGATAGACACCTAAACAAAAGGTTAAGTTTATCAATATGCACTTAGTTTTACCGAGGGAAATATTAGTGTAACTGGCTCAACTGGGCTGAAAGGTTTTCAGATTAATGTTAGCTGGAGCCCCAGTAACTCTCCTGTGGGATGGGGCTGGGGTCATTACTTGGTGCCTGAGGCATCTCAAAAGGCATAATGCCAAGGGGCTTGAAAAATTTTTTCTGAAAACCATGTCAAATTCATGCAATGTGGACATACAAATAAATACCATACACATTAATAGATATTTGATAAGAAGCCAACTTCAAATTTCATTTGGGTTCATTGCATTTAATCATGCATCTTTGGAAAGGTATGTATCCATTGCCTTCTCCAGCTATGGGTTAAAATAGTAAGACTTGTATTTGAAAAAATCATTGTTAATCTCAAAGAATTGTTAATGCCATATTCACTTGTAAGAAAAAAAAAGGAATTATTCTTACGATCTAAAATATATTTTGGCTCTAAGTAAACCTTAAAGGGTTGATAACCTGTAAAAAGACAACTCAATCATATGAGTAGGGCACTTTGATGTGGTGTAATGGTTAGCAAGCTTGTCTCACTAGATCAGTTATGATCCTCACTGAGTTCCTCATACTTTTGGCCTTGTGCCATATCTAAGATACGCTTAGAAAATCAAAGAGCACTTTGACATGGTGTAATGTTTAGTAAGCATGTTTCTCTAGAACTGACTGAATAGTGAATTTGATCCTGGGTGACCCATACTTTCAGCCTTGTGCCATAACTAAGGTACACAGTGTTACGCCCGGGGTTTCGTTGGGACTACGGTAGCCGGGACGCAACGAGAAAATAAAAAAAATAAGTAAGAGATCCCAAGGTTCGATATAAAAATAAAGAAAAGAACGTTGGGAGGGGAATTCTCTAATTCCGGACGTCGGTAAACGCAGAGAGAAAATGAACAATTCGCAGACACAGAACAACAGAAGACAACACGAGAATAATACAAAGATTTTATTTCTAGAATACACGGAGTGTGAATGTAAGAAAAAGAAAAAGAAAACTAAATAATACAAGGGGTGGGGAGATAAGTAACTAATTAAACAAATATTAATGCGGCGAAATACATACGAATACGGAAATAGCAGATTATAAGATATGGAAAAACATGCAGAAACTTACATAAGGTTGGAATCAACGTCGATTGACTATTATCGGGGTACAATTTGTTCAAAGGATATTTACACACTTCTTTGAGAGTAACGGATGGGATTGACAATGTTCTAACATGAATTCTTGACTGGCGACGTCCGATCTGTATTGATTGCGAGGAGAACACACAGAAAAATCACAGGAATATAGCTAACTTGGGTTGACGATGTTGATCTAGATTCTTGTGTCGGTCCTTTGGTTTTTGGTGGCATCTAATTCTTCTGGCATCGAACAACGAAGTCTGGTTCTGGTGACAACTGCTTCTTCTAATGGCAAATAGCTAAGACTGGTTTTTGGTGACGTCCAACTCCTCTGATAGCCAGCAACTATGTGTGGTTGTTGTTATCTCAACACGTGCGAAACGAAAACTGCTATATTTTGAGTCACGTGTTGGCCCCCAAAAAAGGTATGTGTCATTCACGGACCCTGTTAATATCATCCACCTGTCAAACAACGTTTGTTTTGGCCAGCGACTATGGAACTGGTTAACATCATTCACACCTATCTGTCAAACAGCGGACCAGGTAGGAGATGGAGGTAGAAGGGAAGGTTCTTTTCCGAGAACTGGCCCTGACTCATCTGGTTATAAAAACAATATATATCTCACAATCTGCATATTTAAGAAATAAAGAAGTTAAGATTCATATGTTTCGTCGCAAATACAAAAGGTACTGAAAATATACTTATAAAATCTGAGGTTAGGGTACAAATATGGGGTTAATGTAACAACAGAAAATCACCATCTAAGTAATGAGGTTCATCACTACTTAACTTTGGTGATCGAACATGACCTGGGATATTCAATGCAATATGACTGCAAACACAGCATGCATAAACACATCTTAATATGACTTGCATGTATGTGTATACTTACATACCTATATCTATGTAAACTCTGCCTGTTTGCCTATGTCTATGCCTGTCCAAGGGAGAACTGAATCTAGAATTAGCATCATGCAGATTAACTAAAAATACATTTTAATTAAATAACTTTGTTTCTTCAGTATCCGTCTATATTTCTGAGATGAGGTTTTATGTACACTATTTACAGTATTTAGACTATCATCCTCATCTTTGTTGCCATATTTATCACAATGTTTCGGCTGTTGTACGCTCTGGCCTTCTTCAGGTGGTTGGAATGTCGAACTGAACCCTCTATTGTGCCATGTGTCCTTGAGGACATCTGCCTATGAATTTCTGAGTATTATAAACCTAATGTCTTCAGCAACCGTTTTTTACCAGTGCTCATATTACAATTTTTGCTATTATCATTATATGTTTTTTACCAGAGCTCATATTGCAGTTTTTTCAAAATAAAGTTTCAGTTCAACATTCCAACCACCTGAAGAAGGCCGAAGCGTACAACAGCCATAACGTTGTGATAAATATGGCAATAAAGATGAGAATGATAGTCCAAACAATGTAAATAGTGAACTTTGTTCCTGTTTATGATAACAATCAATATCTTTTCAAATGCAGTTACCAGTCTGATAAGACTAATTAATATTTATTAATCATTTATAATGTAAATAATTATTTCAGATGATAATTTTCTGATCAGTAGATCATCAAAATATTATGCTGGGTCCTTCATGGAATTTCCCCCATCATTGAGAGTTAGTTCACTATGCCCATCTAATCCCCAGCTGGCATACTCACATTAATATGTACTTTACATACAGCCATGTATCATAATTACTCAGGGTATGCAGTTGGTTGTACCACTTACTGAATAAACTGATAACAAATATGCTCTTACTTTTCGCCTTGTGCCATGTCTAAGTTATACTTAGAAAATCAAAATATATCATATGAGTATGGGTTAATTAGTTCATCTTCTTGATCTGTTTCTTTTCTACTATTGAAAAGAGGATCAAGATCATGTTTTTATGACCACAAAGACTGAACAATCTTACTTTTCTTTTCCTCACATTTTTTGAATAGAGGATTCTATATTGAAAAAAAAACAGCTGTGTTTAAGCAAAGCAAAATCTTTTTTTAATCATCTAAGTATAAACAATTTTGCACAGCTGTTTTCAGCCATTTAAACACAATCTGACCATGTGACCACTGAGTGGCATAAATAACTATCAGAAATGAATCTATAAAATATCAATACTTCAAAATCACTGTTCAGTTATCATGTTTGAAGTTTTTTGTTGCATGTACTTTCATTAAAGTATGAAATTACAATGTAATAAGGAAAACATTTAATATCATAGATATTATTCACATTTTTTTTTTGTACAATGAAGTTCACCTTGTACAAGGCCCAGGAGCCACTTAAGGTAGAAGGTTACTGAGTAAGAGGTGCAGTTTATGCAAATATTTGGGAAAGATAATGGTTAACCCTAGACTTGAAAAGGTTAAAATTGTAACGATCAGGAAAACATCCTCTTGGGAGTTGGTTCCACAGAGTAGTGGTTCATGGTCAAAAGCTGCTCGAGTGGAAGTATCTTCTTAACAATGGAATACAGAGGGAATGAGGGTGATTTGCTACAATGCGTATTGTATGGCATGTCTTAGTTATGAAGGTTAGAACTTAGAGCAATGAGAGACTTGCAACATTTTGTCTCTGAGAGAGATGTTGCAGAGTGGAAAATAATTTATCCACAAGGAGGCAGAGATACTTTTGAGCTCTAATGAGACTGAAGAGTGATGACTATGACTATTTTAAGCTCAATCTGACTTTTGTAAAGGTAGAGGATAGCACGAGGAACCTGGTACTTACTGAACTGGTACAGGGAACCAACCATTTTTCCTGCATCTTTGGTGATGGATTGTATGTACGAGTTCCACTTGGTCAGGGTTGAGTTTAAGGCTCAAGGCCTCCCTGAGGGAACATCCATTCATTGTGATTGGTAGTAGTTCAGGGCCTGATCAGCAATGATGGAATGTAACTAGTTTGGTTTTGGAGGCATTAAATGCTAGCCAGTTTTCCTCCATTGAGATGTTTGAGCATGATCAGAGGAGAGATCAGTTTATTATTTTAATTCAGACTAATGTCCTTATTTTTGTTGTTATTATTACAAGGTTTCAGCTGTTGATCCAGGTTGTCTTCAGGGAGTTTCAAACTGATGTCTATATTTAATCTACAAGACCAATCTAACCCCATATAAATAAAGTGCCATAATTAGCAAGGCCAAAAGAAGAGGTTTCTCAATATATAAATTCAAAACAATGATTCTGTTTTTCCCAAAGTTTAATTTAGATTACTTGGCATACTTACGTGTAGAATGGCTTCATAGGAACCTTGTAGACTGTTTATTTTCTGTTGGAGAGCGCTAATCTCATTATTTTTATCTCGGATCAAAATTCTTTTTTCTTCCTTTTCTTTTGTCAATAGCTTTTCAGTCTCCTCTGAAAAAAAAAAGAAAAAAACGGGTATACTTATAATTGTAATGTATATTCATATATGTACATGCCTATCATATTATTATCTTATGGCTGGCCACTCTTATCCAAGGATGTCTATCTACTAGGGTGGCTAGCCAATCCCTGTTGCAGATGCATTCTCAGGCACATTTGTGTTTGTTCAACACACACAGAGCCTACCTGTGGTTTCTGCTGCAACTATGCTGAACAGACCTTAGTTACAGTTTTGGGGACAGAGTGCATTATATAGTGTGATTAACATCCTGAACAAGGCCAGCACACTCAAATCCTCAGTCACAATGACCTGTGACTTCATGCTAGCACAACCATCAATGATTCTCAAATAGTTTTGTCTACCCAATTTCACTCACAAGGCTTAGGTTCACCTTAGACATGGTTTACAGACACTTTCCAAAGATGCCACTTACTGGGATCGCCTCTTCCAGATCAATAACATAAAGTTTCTTGACAAATTGATCATGGTGGTGTATGAACCAGGGTCACTTGGTTGGAAAGTAAATGTTCTAACCACTCGGACATGAGCCCACATTATTATATAAGATGTTAACAAAAGTATGATTTAATGGGATTCTGCAATGTCTTGCTGAAATTTAAAATGTCATAATTCATATATTTCAATAATACAGAAAAGCATTCTATTATTTTCACTTTTAAATAGTGATTTATCTAACTTCTTTTTTTAATCATTTCACTCCAAGCGAGGCAATAAAGCCGCTAAAAGATAGGGGATTACAGAGTGTGAAAGAATATGATTAAAGAAAAACATTATTATGGAGAGAGAACAATAAAAGAACAAGAAATAAGAAGACAGAAGATAACAATTGACATTACATTTAAATTTTTGAAGATCAAAGTTGACTGGAAAGCAAGAAGCAGAAAAAGAGTACAATAGTGAGAAAAGTGAGAGAAAAAACTATTTGCATAAAACTTATGGGTTACATTTAGCGACTTCAACTGTAAAATGATGAGGTGTAGCAGTCAATCTAGAACTGCACTTAAATTCCTAAAGTCAAGGCATGAAAGAGGGAAGCTCGTCAGAACAATTATCATGAAAATATTTATAGAAAAACCACAGGGAAGCTATGTTACAGCAGTGGGGAAAGTGACTGAAGCTGAGATGCCAGGTCAGGACCAATAACTCTACAGACTCTTCTTTGGATTTTATCCAGAATTTCTAGATACATAGCAGGAGCACCAAACCAGATGTGGCAACAGATGTCGCCATTTTATATTTTTAATTTCATGCATATACATTGCTTGTTTTTGATTTTGTCAACTGCACAGTATAGTTGGTTCAGTTGGGCCTGGTCTGTGAGAAAAAGAGCGCACCATGATGCAATTCACTTCACCAGAAATTTGCAAAAAGCATGCAATACTGCTTGGCATTCAAGCTGAAAGGTCCAATATGTACATTTCAGAGTGTTTGGGTGTCAATCTGAGGATAGTGCAGAGGAAAGAGTTGGATGAGTCTAATGATGATTACAAAGGTTTCTGGAGTAATCACTGGTGATGGCGACATTATGCCACTATTCATCTTCCCACAGGGCCACAGACTCAACACGTAGGCCTACATCAAGAGCCTTGAGGAGGTAGTACTGCCCTGGTTCAAAAGAGTGGCTGCTAGAAGATCCTATGTCTGACAACACAAACAGGAGAACCCAGTGATGGTTGTCAGACAATTTCTACAACCACGTCACCCCTTTACATCTGGCCACCTAACTCCTCAGACTGCAACCCCCTTGATTATTATGTGTGAGGTGCAGCTGAGCAAGAGACTAACAAAACTCCTTGTAACAACAAAGATGAACTGAAAGCAAGGATTATAGCAGCATTGACCAACGTAAACAAGGAGACCATCCAGAAGAGTTGCAAGAGATTCTGAAGTCATCTGGAGGTTGTGGCTGAAGCCAATGGCGATTTTATTGAATAAATCTACTGTTTACTATTTCAAGTTATTTTCATGTAATTTTGATAAATATATCTGTTAAAATGAGATGTCAGTGTTATTTTTGTGATATATCCATCGCACCCTGTATTTAATGCATGGATGAACGGTAGAGTTATAAATAAGTAAGATATATTCTGATGATAGAAATTGTCTAGCTTAACACAGAGAACCTACATTCCTAGCAGTAGACCTAACAATTGATACAATATAATCTTTTCACTTCATGTCAGTGGAAAATAGCTTGAGAAGTTTTAGTTTTTGCCCCAGTTAACAATGGATTGGAAAGCAAAAAGCCAAAGAGATTCTCACAACTGAGAAGTGTGTGAGAAGAAGCTGTCAGCACAGAACTTATTAATTTATATATGTCACCCCTGTAAAATCCACATGAATTATAGGGCTATAGCCTCATCAATCTCAATGCTGCTGCTGTGGTTTTAATAGCAAACAGTTTTCTATGAGGTAGAATTGCCCCCCCCCCCATGTACAACTATTTTTTAATTTGAACTTATTCTTCTCCTAGTTTGGTTGCCAACAAAAGGTAGAGAGCATAGTCTTCCCAGCTATTAATTCCTTGTTGGGGAGGTGGGGGGTGATGGAGAAAAGATGAATTCATATATTTCTAAGGGTATTTTTATGAAACCATCATAATGACCCCAGCTGAAATTTGGATTTGAAATGCTAGTTTCACTTTTGGTATCAATAACTGCTATCCTACACACAAATCCACAAACTTACATATGTTTCATGAAAAAAATAAAAGTTCAGTTTTTGATCTTCAACAACTTTACAAAAGAATATTAGTTATTAAAAAAAATTCACTTCTATATTTTTGTACTTTTTATTTGTTTACCTTAACTCAGTGGTTCCCAAATATTTTTTCTCTGAGCCACATTTTTCAGAATTAAAATTTGCTGACACCTCACAAAATTTTATGTGATAAAAATTACATTTAAAAATAAAAATAGAGAGAAGGAAAGAGGGAGATAACTGCGGATTCAAAGTCAGAACGTTATCATTGATAACTCTCTCTTCCAATCTGCGGACCCTAGTTACTATATTCTTAATACTTGATATAATGCAAAAATATTATAATATTGGTCAATAATTATTTATAACTATTTATACTGGGACTCATGCATGCAATTTCAAGTAATCCATAATGATATTTTAAATTTTGAAATCATATTTATTTTTGGGATATGAATTTTTTTAAACTGTTTTTAAATCTGATTGTCTTTCAATTATTCCACCTCACCTGCTATCCTCTTTTGCCATACCTATGAGGCTCATCACACTGTTTGGGAACCACTGCCTTAACTTTAATATTTGAGGTGGCAGAATTTTATTTATTTTAGGATTTTTTGTAACTCTATTCCTGTATTGTCCTCAGTTTTATATAGACACTCCAATGTCCAACATTAACTCTGAAGACTGCAATGTCATCAACAGGTTTATTCTGAACAAAAACAGTAAAATTAAAATAAAAAAGGAAACAATAAAAAATAAACCAAAAATTGATAACAGAATGTGGAAAGCAAAAGATGTGATTGAAGGAAAAATATTCACAGAAATTTATATTTTGTAAAAAAACTCATTAATGTTTGGGGCCAACATGTTTTTGATGAGTCACTGTGTTAATGTTAATGAGATGTTAAGGAGATGATAAGTAGATAATACTTTTCAGAGGATTTAAGAAATATTTTTATTTTATTTTATTTATTAAACTTTGCCTACTACTACAAATCCTTTCCTTTTATGTTGCTGATTACCACACTGTTAAGTGTGCATCCTGATAGACAAGATGGAATCTCCACAACTGCTTTCTATTTTTATGTACATGCTTAATTCATTTTCTATACATTGGCAGGCCATTTGCCCCCAGTACGTATTCTGGATTATTCTAATATCTTACCCAAATAAAAGGCTTATGGCCATATCATGTTGAAACATTGGTCCTCGTATGATCACCAGTTAAGTAATATTGAGTATGGTTAATACCTAAATGGGTAACTGCTTGGGAATACCAGGTACTTAGGAAAGTTATGAATCCACCTCTTTTGCCTCCAGATATGGGTTAATTAATAGGACATGTATCAGTAAATCATTATTATCTCCAAATAATTATTTCAATCTAAAACTATTTGGTGGCTTTAAGTAACCTGTAAAAAGTTGATAAGTTGCAAAAAAAAAACAAATCAACCAATTAATACCCAAATAAATCAAGTTTTCTAGGATGAAATTACATGCACTATAAGTGTATAGATAGGCACAAACTATTTACTGATCCATGGGTAGCAAGGTAATTATAATGACCATGTGATGGGTTGATTGGTTGTTTTTGTTTAATGTTATACCAGCCTGTATGGGCTGTTTAATGCCAAAATCTAAATAATTTGAACATAATTTTATGGCTTCAACTAAAGATATTTTGAATGCAATTGTATCTGTACATCATTTCATACTTGCATACTTGTTTTTTAGATATGTAGTTTGTAGATAATATATATTGCTGATAATTTTACTATAATAATATATTTTTATACTTTAGTGCTGTATTGATTATCATTTTGCTATAAAAATATATTACAACTGGTCATCTTTTTATAAATATATTGCTGGCATTTTTACCATAATGTTTTTTTGCACTTAGTGAACAACCAAACAAAAATCAAAAAAATATTTTCATATAGCTGGGACCCTAACAGGTGATACCACCCCGGGTCAGAGTGGACCTGGGTTCCATGCTCCTCAAAACCTCCAATCTCTTGATCAGAGACCTTGCTGTCAGATGTAGTTTATCATCATACCCAGGACTAACCATGTGATGAGAAGTGTTATGCAGAGGTACAAATGCATTTATATGTATTCATATGTATTCATGTGTAGTGATTTTTTTAATTATTAATCCAACAGATTTTTATCACTTTAAACATTATTTTTAGTGAGTATTCAGGCCAGCAGACAAAAATAAATAAATATATTATTTTTAATAAATAACCAGAGTGTCTACTCAAACATGAGTATCCACTAAAAGTAATGTTTAAAGTGATAAAAATATTTTTTGTGTATGTTTGAGTGTAATTAAAAAAGAAACCAAAACAATCATGACAATGTTAAGATACTCACTGAGATTGAGTTTAAAGTGGGCAAGTTCTGTTTCCAGCAAATGGATACGACCAGTCATCTCTGATTGCATTGTTTTGTATTGCCGAGTCATATCTGCCAAAAGAGATACATAAGAAAAATATTTATTGACTTTAATCTCAGTAAAAAAAAACAAAAAAAAACATCAGAACAATAATAAACTATGACACTACATGTGTTCATGTCTTACATGTATATGGGATTTGAACAAACAGAAGGAGAAAACAGAAATAATGGATATGAAAATAGAGATGGTAAGAAAAATTGTAAGGAACACTTTTTTGATTATGGCAGAAAAAAAAAATTTAAGCTATTAATCCCTTAAAGCCAGAAGTGACCAAATGCATCTGCATATTTCACATAAACCGGGAACGCACCTGAATGTGCCTGAATTCAGGTAGCACTGTATTTTAATACAAAACATTAAACACCCTTCACAGAATCAACTCTATAGCTGGCCACTCATATTCAAGGATACCTGTCTACTAGGGCAGCTAGCCAATCCCTGTTGCAGACGCTTGCTCAGCCACATTTGTGTTTATTCAACAGCCGCAGAGCCCACCTCTGGTTTATACTGCAACTATACGGGGCAAACCTTAGTTACAGTTTCTGAGAAAGAACGTGTTATCTAGCATGATCAACAATTTGAACAAGGCCAGCATGCTCAAGCCCTAGGCCATGATGACTTGTGACTTCGTACTAGAACAGCTATTGACAGCATCCAAGGGTTCCATCTACCCAATTTCACTCACAATGCTTGGGTCAACCTGTGGTATGGTTTTCAGGTACTTTCCAAAGGTGCTGCATACTGGGATTGACTCCTCCAGTTCGATAGCATCAGGAAGTCTCCTTCCTGACAAATTGACTATGGTGAGATTAGAACTCAGGTCTCATGGTCAGAATGCAAACGTTCTAACCTCTCAGCCACATGCCCACATAATCAACTAGAGACACAAGAAATCTACAAATTTTTAGAAATTATCCTAATAGCGTCTTCTCTCATACTTCTCGCTTGTGGAACTCTCTTCTGGCTTCTTACTTTTCTGTCAACTGCAATCAACAAAAATTTAAATGAAATGTCAATCTTGTTTTTCTTAATTCCTGTTCTTTTATCGTTCTCTCTCTCTTGAATCCTGCTATTTTTTATTGTCTTTTCTTCTCAGTAATATTTTCTCGGTTTTCTTCATTCTATCTTTCATCCTCCATAATCCTTGCATCTTAGTGCTTTCATTGTCTTGCTTGGGGTGAAATGATAAAAAAAACATATTTCCAAAACCATATCTCATAACCAGTAATAGTAACTAGGCTACATTTGGTACAATTTGAAAGAGAAATTTAGGTTAATTTGAGATCAACTTCTAAGAGTTGATTTTTTTTTTAATCAAATTCATCCCAAGCAAAGCCACTAAGACACAAGGTATTACTGGGTGTGGAAGAATTAGAAAATAGAAACATTATTAAGGAGTGAAAACAATAGAAGAGTAATCGGAAAGACAGTAGATAGCGAATGACATTGCATTTAAATTTTTGAAGATTAAAGTTGATTGGAAAGCATGGAGCCAGAAGAAACTTACACAAGCGAGAAGTGCAAGAAAAGAAACTGTTAGCAGAGAACTTACGGTTACATCTAGCCAACTCAACTGTAAAGTGATGAGACCTTGTTGCTAATCTAGTATTGCGCTTCAATTCATAAAGTCTTAGTACCATAGCAAAGAGCTCATCTGAACAAATTACCATGAAAATATTTATAGAAAAGGTACAGGGAGGCAACTTTATGGAGGTGGGAAAGTTACTGAAGCTGAAACGCCAGGTCAGAACCAATAACATATATCAATTTAATTGCACTGATATCATGTATTCAGATATTTCAACAATTTGGCCAATTTCAGAATTTTTACAAATTTTTATAAATTTCATAATTTCATGAATTGTACATGAAGATTTTTATATATTGCGCAATTATATGAATTTTTATAAATCTCACAATTTCATGAATTGTGCATGTGTGACACTATGTGACACTGGTAAATGGAAAGAAAAGGGTTAAAATTAAAATATAACATGGAACAAGATGAAAAGGGTTAATGAATGGAACAATAGAAAATTGAGAAAAAGAAATGAGATTGCTTTTAATTTTAAAAGTCTATTTTTTAAGCAGAGATGGCTTGAAGAAAGCAACTTGGTTGTTTTATTAGGGGAAAGATATTACTACAGAAGCCATCTGGAAAAAGCTGGGCTGACAATTGATTGATGGCACTAACTTAAAATGGGAGTTACGAAAACATCTCCGAGGAATCAGCTGGAAAAGAAAGCTGATTGAAAAGATAATGTTTGGCAATTTTTAAAGACAAGACAGAATTGAAAAAACTGATTTATCTATCAAAAAGTGAGAATTGTAAACAAGCCAAGAAATAGAATTTCTTTCTGTAAAGACCCAGCCCCAGGATTCTAAAAAGTGTGATAACCCTAACAAGATATAGAGATAGCTGACTGGAAGAAACAGCTGGTAAGTTTTTGATTGTATGAATAAACTGGGAAAAATTTCCTGATGAGAAATTAAAATGATAATTCTAATTAATGACCAGAAGCTAAGCCATGTGACATGATTTGAAAACCAGATTTGTCAAAATGACAACTGAAATGGCAGGCGTAGGTGAGAGACCAAGAAGGACAGAGAAATTGCCTATGACCATTGGGAAGTAATGGTACGAGGTACACATAAGAGAAAGACAGAGTTTTGGAGGCAGGTCAGTACCTACAACTGCTGTCCATAGGAAAAGGGATCTCCCAAATTTGGGGAGACAATTAATTTTTTAAATCCAGACAACCAAGAACTCTTGCTGGAAGATAGGGGGAACACCAGCTCCCCTAACCATGTCGATCCAAAAAATCAATATAAGCAGAACACAGAAGCAACCAGACACCAGTTCCAGAGTTGCTGACCAGAGATGCAGATGATATCAGACAGCAGGTGGAGCTGCCAAATCAAACATGACTTGCTGCCAAAGGGAACTCCTAACTTAAGCCTTGTTCCAGACCTAGCTAAATTGAGCAAAGTGTCACAATAGACTTTAAAAGTAGGAAGAGTTAATATTTTTATACAAAGAATGATATAAACCACATAGAAAACAGACTCTGAACTTTTCTTTATTTAATCTGCAAAGAACATTTTTTATTTTTTACTTTGTGACATAGCTTCACCATGACTGAACCAGCATTACAATTGCTGATGACAACTTGGTCTTTGCCAGCTTTGTGATCAAACAACACAATGTGTGGCAGAGTGGGACACTGATCAGAATGACCAAATTCAACAGCCAGTGGCCGTATTAACCAGCGTAAGAATTGATCCAGAATCAACCAGCAAGAAGTGTCATAACTGATTGCTATAGACATGAAAACAAGGTCTGATATGGTTTTTGGCTAAAAACAAAGAAAGACACAAATCAAAGTGACTAGTATAGCCAGTTTGGTACAAAAGAGTTTCAATACTTGATTTGGATATTTTGAGTATGTTGGTTATTTCCAATAGTTGCTTCTCAATAATGTCTTCATTTTCTCTTGCTATTTAACCTCTACGAGCTTAAATGACCATGGAACAGAGTTCAATAAGAAATCTCTAGTTTCAAAATCCACTGACCTCTTTTAAGACATTCATTTATTCACAATACATTCGACAATAACTACACAATTTACTTTTTGTGTCTGAGTTGTATTTTTACCTTTCTTAAAATGAAAAAAACAAAAATCTCAGTATACCAAAAATAATGCTTATTTTCTTTCATCTTTAGTCATAAAAAATGAACAAAAATATGACAATTCTGACAGCTTTTTTAAAAATCTTACACAAATACAAAAAATGTTACAATAGAACATACACTATTTTTTTTTAAATTACATCGGTTAAAATAAATACTCCTCATGCCTTTAATGAAAAAATTGAAAATTAGTTTTTGGCTAACACAACTATTAATTCTAGCATTGTTTAGTCAAACCAAGAATTGTTTTTAAAAGATATTTCTTTGGTGGTAATTGTCTTCTAGTCAAACAACTAAATATTGATATTTTGTTACAAAGTTTGCATTTTAAGAACAGTTCTTTTTCTGACAACTAGATCTTTGGAAGTTATAAATTTAAATTTTCTTCAGAGTCTGTCTATATTTCTGAGATGAGGTATTATGTACAGTATTTACATTAGTCGGACTATTGTCCTCATCTTTTGAGGACAATAGTCCGACTAATGTAAATACTGTTAAATTTTCTTATTTACAATAATACAATACTAAGCAACCCAAACTCTGATCCATTTTAATTCTAACTTACTTCTTTTAATCTTAGTCTTTGATTAATATGTAAAAAAAAAAAAATATCATCAGAAGATTCTTACCAGCACTAACAGCTTTATAGTCAGACTTTTGGGTCTGGAGTTCTTTCTGGATTTGTTCCAATTGCTGGTGACACACTTCACTGTTTGTTTTGGCTTGAATCAGCATTGAATGGCGAAGGGCTACAATAAGAAAAATGAAATACACTCAACATTTCAGATAATGCTTATAAGATATATATTACAGAAAAATAGGGTTGATCAATTTATTAAAAGTCAAGGTTGTCATGTCCATAAAAAATAAATAAAAATGAATTATAGTGTCAAAAATAATTATAAGATAATTATAACAATTATAATTATCATTAATTTACTCATTTTAAACCAATGAAAAACAACTCCACTTTTCTCCTCTACACACACAGACATGTGACATTCTCATTGTCAGACAAGCAGTTGACATGGACAGGTTGTCAACACATGTGTCAATGAAAGTTTCAACTCCTTTTCCTTTATCAGGTCATAATAGTAACATTTATCTCTTAGCACTCAACAAAAATTCGAGGTAAGAAATCTCCAGGTACTTCTTGAATTTTCCAACTAAATTATTTGGACACTCATTTTTTGTATGTTTTTTTTATAGGTGTGTGTTACATCTATAAAAATCATGAGAAAGACTATGCTTTACTTATTCTTTATCTTATCATTCTGTTGAATTCTGATCCATATTTGATCTACATTTGATCCCAAACTCACAATTTTACTCATTATTACCATCTCTTATGTCTTCAACACCATATAACAATCAGATAATAAATAATAATCATTTTGTTGTGCATGCAGTTTGCTGCCAGTATAGGTTTTTGATTATTCTAATATCCTTCCCAAATATGTCAAGGTCACTAAGCAGTTCCAATCAATCTTTGTGGCATACTTTATGGAATGACGTTGCATAAATCCAGGTATAAATTTTTACTTGCAATTTGTTTTAAGTTTCTCTACTCAATCTGTACAATGTTAGGTGCTGACATCAGTGTTCACATTATATATATATATATAGGAAATATATATATATATATATATATATAGGAAATATATATATATATATATATATATATATATATATATATATATATATATATATATATATATAGGCAACTGGACGTCTAGCCACATTAACGAGCTTTGATAAAGTGAAACAGTCTGTCTGTGGATGACAATATATATGTTCCTGAAAAATTTATTTTGGTTGAGCTCTCTGGGGAGGAAGTGCGGGTTTGTAAACAGTGACTATTATGGCTAATAATGTATGACTCTTCAGTAAATCGAATCAAGTTCTCTCAGTCACTGTGTGTTTATCTAAAAATATATATGCTTAAATTCACCATCTTCCCTACCGTGCATCAATTACTTAGTGGTAGAACCACTGACTGATGCCAATTCAGTTGGGTTTCGATCCTAGCTAGAGGCAGTCGGACGTCTAGCCACACTGATAAGCTGTGATACAGCGAAACAGCCTGTCTGTGGATGAAAATATATATATATATATATATATATATATATATATATATATATTATCATAGTTACATGTTACTCTGTTATTTTTGTTTCAGCAAATGGATTCTTTTCAATTTAACCTTGAACAGTTTGAGTTTATTAAGTCTGTACATCATTTTGAAGACATTTTACACTGGTTATCCAAACCCAATACTATTTTTTCCTGTTCATAGTTTTTTTTTATGACCAATTAGATTATACTTCATAACCTAGAGTTATTTTTATGACTTTCATTTATAACTGGAAGTAGCTTCAAAACCCTGTGCTGTTGTAACACTCCTATGCCATAAAACCAACAGCGACCAGCCTCTCCTTGGACAGGGGGAATAGAAGAAGATTGGGTAGCATCTTTTCATCAGTGATCACCAGCAACCAACTGACTCCCACCAACCATGTCTTCTACCAATCCACTCGGTGATTCAAGTTTGACTTCCTGCTCCTCATCATCTCACGGATCACCATGGTTTCAACTGCCTACCCTTGGCTAAGACTGCCTGCTAGTATCACCTTAAAACTTCAACTGTCTATTGACCTGTGCTGACTGCCTATTGTCCTTCAACACCACCCAAGTGGTTTGTCTTCATCTTCTGGTTACCAACAACTGGCTGGCCTGGCCTTTGAGTAACAGCTAGTACCAACATTAACTGTCTATCAAACTTTGGCACCACTCAAGTGCTCCAGTGATCATCAACTGTCGATGCATCTAAGTCCAATAGTTATTTACCAGCACAACCCCCAATGTATTTAAAATATCTGGATTCTTCAATTATATTTTTCTTTTTTCTGCCAATAATAAATTTTGGCATATTTTATCTAAAAACTGTCCTTGTTCTCTTTTTTTATTTAATGTCTTAGGGTTTGTCTAACATCAACATTCGGACCCCACAAAGCATAATATTTTTTTCTAAATAAATCCACATTACAACCAAAAACGTTTGCGGCACATCTCTTCTCTTCTTTTTAATATACATACTTTTCTCTTGTTGGAACCACTACAACATATTTTTTTTTATATATATATATATATATATATATATATATATATATAATGCAACACATAGTCAGTGCTGGTTGTAATAAAACAGTACTTGATGTATAATAACGGACATATAATTTATACTAATAATAAATATACATCTTGTTTCTCACTATTTGGTACAAACACTGAGGAACAGGATGTATATTTATTATTAGTATATATATATATATATATATATATATATATATATATATCCACAGTAAATTTACATCCAGTTTATTACAACATTTCACCATTCTTGGCAGATTTTCTATTATCACAATGTGGGATATTTAATAACAATGATAAAAAGATAAACAAAAGAAACTAAATGAAAAATTGACTCGATTATATACCCAAAGCATATTCAAAAAAACATTTTAATTTAAATTTCAAATTCTCAGTGTTCTCTCTCTTTTGTGTGCATGTGGAGTTACATCAACAAAACATTGATTTAGCCTGATGAAGTTCTAAAGAACAGAAATGAGTCATACAAAAACTTTTCTCACTTTGTCATAAATTTCTCTGAAATTGTTCTTGACATATAAAAATGTATATATCATTTTCATATATATATATATATATATATATGTATATAAATAAAAAGAAAGAACAGCAAGATATATAATCCGGTGTTCTTATAGATATTTTTAATTTTACAAAATAGTGCTCAATGTAAATTTACAGAGCATTAATATTATAAATTAATTGATTTAAAATGTTTTTTCACTACACAGTTTTAACTATGTTTCAAAGATGGAAGCTAAAAAGCCACGAATTAGCTTCCATCTTTGAAACATGGTTAGAACTGTGTAGTGAAAAAAAAAACATATTTTAAATCAATTAATTTATAATATATATATATATATATATATATATATATATATATCTTCTGTGATCAATACAATCATCTTTATCCAGAGTTTTAATGAGTGACTGAAAGTTCTAATTTAATAATGATAATGTTATATTTGACTGCAAATTAGATCCCTGTTTGATTCACTCTACATGTTGGTCAGATATGAACATTCAGAAAGAAAAGCCCAAAATAAAAAAAAGTCATCCTCTGTGCAAGAGCTACATGCATCACATCTGGCCTTTAAAACAAATTTCTTTAAAAATATAACATAAAAGAAGTCAATCACAAATATTGCTGCCAAAAAAGAAAAAAAAAAGAAGAAGATGAACTCAGGTGCCATCAGATTTGCTTTTAAGAAAGCCAATCTCCATAAACGATTGGAACAGAAGCAAGGAGAATGGGCTAACTTTCAATGCCCTGCATACCCTCAACATCACCAATATAACTTTGGTCAATCAATCTGACAAACACATCAAATTACCAAATCCTTTTCAAAAGCTGCTACCTTTACCAAGAGCAACTAAAGAACCTTATATTAACAATTTTGTTATCTTTTCCCACTGCCTATTGCTGTTTCACACAGTTATTGCCATTTTTGTTTGTTTTCCCATTCAACCAGAATTCAAATATAGGAACTGGTGTTAGTGTGCAGCAAGGAGAACTAACGAAATGAACTTTCCAGCAATGAAGAAAGAACTATATGCCTCATTGGACATCTTGTTTGAATCTGACAGTTCCTCAAGAAACGTCTACATGAACAAATTCAATCTGACTATTCTTTGCCATGGTGGCCCCTATGCGAACTTAACTGGGTCTGGACAGAAAGAGCCAATAAAGTTTTTGAAAAAATCAACAAGTGTCTCTCTTCACAACCAATCATTTCATTTCCCAACTTTACTGGACTGTTCACACTTACCACCAATGTTGAGTGATATCGCATGCAGAAACATCCTCATGCAAGGAACTAAAAATGGTCATGAAAAGATCATAGCAGTTGTTTCACATAGTTTTAGCCGAACAAAACAGAAGTGGTCTACCTCTGAGTGTGAAGCATTTGCTATCAGATGGACCATAACCAAATTTGATTACTTCCTCTGTAGCTGCACCTTCATCTTCTTCAATGACCATTCATCACTGACACTTTTATGGGGGCAGCACTTTTCAGTCTGCTGTATAAGCCTGTATAGGCCATATTAAAATAAAAGTGATTTTAATGTCATGACACTACTCAGTGTTGAATGACCTTTACAATTTCGAGTAACTTAAACTATGGCATATGAATTTAATTGATTGTTATCTTGGCCAAACAATAAACATGGTCCAGTGATGTATTCAGGATTGTTTTATCATTGTTAGAATATGAAACATGTAAACAGACCCAGGGTACATTCTTTACCTTTTATTTATCATATAAATTTTGCTCTACTTTTTGTTTTTGGGACAATAGTCAATATATATATGTATATATACATATATATATATATATATATATATATATATATATATATATATATATATAATTATTTATTTAAAAATTATAAATATGTGATTTTATAACATATTTAACATATATAAATATGTGATTTTATAACATATTTATGTTATATAAATAGATTTTATAACATATTTATGTTATAATTTTTTAAATAAATAATTATATCTATTCTACACTGTATTGAGCACTCTTTTTAAGAATAGTAATTGTTAGTTATTGGAATTTATTTCGTATACACCAATCATATACTTGGATATATATATATATATATATATATATATATATATATATATATATATATATATATATGTGTATAATGCCTTGGTCCTCAACCATAATTTGTACTGAAAGTCTGTTCTAAAACTGAATTGTTCCAGAACTGAATCATTTTTCCCATTACAATATAATTAAAAGAGATTAATTTGTTTCCAAACACCAGATGAATGCTTATTGACAAGCTTACACTATATATTCAGGTAAATCTTTCTCTGGGGTTTCTTTTCTTTTTTCCTTCAGTAAAAACCTGTCCAATGTTAGATGTTTTTGCCTCCGTTGCAAAACTTTTCTAAAATGAGACATGATATTATCATTGAAAGGGTTTACTGCTCTATTTCCTACAATTGTATCAGGATGATATTTTTCCACAAAACTTTTCACATCACCCCATTTAGCACAAATTTCTTTGATTAAAGAATTTAGGATATCCTCCTTTCCTTCCTCCTTCTCAGAAGCCATTTCCTCAGCCAAAGTCTTTTGCTGTTAATTTTGAAAACCTACAAGTGCTTCAGCGGTAAGCTCAGTATAGTGGTCTTCCATTAGCTCATCAATATCTTCACTGTCGACATCCAAATCAATAGTTTTTCCCATAGAGACACTATCATCAACAATAGCAATTTCATCAACAGCAACAGTAATTGTTTTGCAATGATTTCTTTCTTTACTGCAAATGTTTTTCTCTCATCTTTTCTTTTTCTTTTACCATTATCACTCCTATGAAGAGAAAAAAAAAAGGCACAGTACAATAAAATTGGGAAAGAAAAGCACAGCCCAATGCACAAATATATACAACATGGTGGTTGACTCAGAAATGATTCTGTTCAGGTTAACTTGGTTTGGCTCAGTTTGGTAATGTTGTTCAAGTACACAAATTTTGTTTGATAATAAGCCATTTTCATCTCAAATTTTCTGTTGGCAAACAAATTTGTTCAACATGTGAGATGTTTGAGAACTGAGGTTGGTCTGTATATATATATATATATATATATATATATATATATATATATATAAAAGAGGGAATCACTGCAATATATTGTACTTTTTGTGGGGGTGGAATAGTGGAAGAGGTGGCAAACTCAAGGGCTGCCACAGCTGATATACACTCTACCCCAGGCAGCACACACTCTAGCTGCACCACAGAGAGATCTGCATCAACTGACATTAAACAGTGTCTACTTACCCAAGCAATCTTTCATGGCTTTAACCTCTCCCATAGCCTGGTTATATTTTTCTTCTGTTTGGAGGTCCTTATCTAGAAAAAGAAAGTGACTCCAATAAAATATCAATTGAATAATTTTATTTCCATATCAAAATACAAATAATCAGCATTTTGGTCTCCAGTCATCTCAATTTCTTAAAATATGTTCACTATTCATTTTTGATGAGATTTTTTTTCTTTCTTATCTTGCTACTTTTAATGGTCATAAAATGTAGAAAAAACAATAAAAATAAGATGAAAGAAAAACTCATCACAAATTAATAGTGAAATATGAAAATAAAACAAGCATGAATATGAAAATTGAAACAATGTACATTCATTATCATAAATTCATAAGAAGGAATTTATAACACTGAAACAAACACCTTAAATAATTAGTTGCAAACAGAGCAAACAACTTAACCAGCTGATAACATAAAGTAAAGAAGATAAAAGTTACAGCAATTTATATTCATTGTTGTAAAGAACTATACATTATAAAAAAATAATACAAAATTTAGTGATTTGAAAATATTACATTTTCATTGTTTCATTTTTCAATAAATTTTTTGGAACAAACTGATTTTGATAACAATCAGTAATTGCTAACATTATTCATGAATAAATGTCTTTCTCTGTGTATATAACAGGAGACATTCAAAACTGCATATGTATTTCAACTCCTGAGTATGGGCATCTAATGGGTGTTGCTTGTTGTTCAGATGTAAATATCTCTCTCTCTCTCTCTCAACATATACACACACACACATTTTTGGTGGGGAAGCAACCTTTCTTTTGAACATGTTATGTTGAATATGACAGACAAGGAAAATTTGATTAATTTTTATTTAATTTTTTTAATATTCTCACATTTTTACAAACAAAAAATTATATATATATATATATATATATGTATATATATAGATGAGGTAAGATGAGAACGAATAGAGTACAATTCCAATGTCCATAACATTTAACTTAAAAGAGGGCTTGATACAAAGTAGAGCAATATTATTTATTTTAGGATATTATACCAAAATCATGTAAAAACTGCTACACAATTGCAGTTGTGTTTCAATGCATATCAATGCATATCAATGCATCTCATCAGATGATTGTAAATTACTGATGAATGAATGATTTATTTAGATTTAAAAGCAAATTACAACCTCTTTTTACAAAAAAAAAGAAAAGAAAAAAGAAAAGAGGGGGTTTTAAGATTTATGGGCTTCACTCTGATTAATCAATCAAATATGACCTAAATTAAATTTAAACTAAGCAAAGAAGCAAAAATAAAAAATTATTTTCCATAAATGGGTCATGACCCATAGATTGGCAGCTAGATATAAACTAAAGCAAATGCAAATGGTTACATAAATTATGCAAACTAGAAAATGCCATTTCCTAAAAATGAGGTGGAGAGGTAATTTAACAAAATGCTAAACAAGTTATATGTTTTGTGAATTTCCTACATTTTTATAGTTGATAAATAAATAGCTTCTTTAAGAAACTAGTAAATAATTTAAAAGTATAGAATTATTTGGTAAATTAATAAGCAACTATTGAATAAAGATTCTTCATATAAAATGTTAATAACAATAAACAATCAATATAAAATGTCAAAAATACCAACCAAATACAAATACATTCATACAAGATGTTAGTAATACTACCAGGAAATTAATACAAAATTATATTAAATCCAACTTAATCCTACAAATAGAAAGATAATCCATATATGGTGCAATGCAGTACAACTAAAATATAAGTAAAAGCATTGTTTAACTAAATTGTAAGGTAAAAGGTGAACTATGTTTACAATTTACTGTTAATTCATTTCTTTGATTTAATAAGGAATTTTTATTGAATCTGATAAATTTTCAATTTTTCATGTAAGCACAGAAAACAGGGTTCATATAAAGATCTACATGTCCTTGCCATTTTTAAAATTTTCCATTTCACCTTAGGAGTCTTTTTATCATCTTTTAAACTCAAAAATAATTTAGAAAGTGATGTATTATTTCTGTAAGTACTATTGGTGAAGGACAAGGTATGTTGATACCACCTAGTGTTGAAAGAATTCTTAGTACTACCAATATAGAATTTTTCAACCATCAGATTTTCTATTGTAGAAACACTACAAAGATAAACAAGAGATTTAATTAAATATTTGATTGTCAATGAACATTGGTCATAATTCCTACAATTACATTGACAAGTATCAATAATAATATTTTTCTTGGAATGTGTATTATGATCCAGATTATTAAATTGGTTTAAAAATAAGTTATATATATATATTGAAGAGATTGAACCTGACCTGACAATCCTTCATTTTTTAGGATGAAACTTGAATTGCCTTGGTTTTATTTTATATTGTTCATTTATCTTACCATCTTTGAGAAAAAGAACATCATGACACAATTCACTCCACCAAATTTTGGAAATGGCATGCTGTACTGCTTGGCATTCACAGTAGAAGCTCCAATACAAACATTTCAGTGTCTTTGGGTGTCAATTTGAGAAGAGGGCAGAGGATTTGGAAAGAGTTGGATGAGTCTAATGGTGATTATGAAGGTGTTTCAAATGATTACTAGTGATGGCGATGTTATGTCTCCATTCATCTTCCCACAGAGGCTTACATCAAGTGCCTTGAGGAGGTAGTGTAGCCCTGGGTCAAGAGAGTGGCTGCTGGAAGATCCAAGCAGGAGAATCCATTCAAGGCTGTCAGACAATTTCTGCAACCACATCACCCCATACATCTGGCCACCTATTTTCCCAGATTGCAACCCCCTTGATTATTATGATTATTATTATTCAGTTGAGCCAGAGACCAACAAAACTCCTAACATCAAAAATGAACTGAAGGCAAGGATTATGGCAGCATTCTTCAACATAAACAAGGAGACCATTCAGAAGAGTTGCAGGAGATTCTGAAGTTGTCAGGAGACCGTGGTTGAAGATGATGGCAATTTCTTTAGTATTTCACGATATTTTTGTGTAATTTTGATAAATATATCTGTAAAATAAGATGTTAGTGTCATTTTCATTTTTCTACAATTTAGATGACAATTTATCCATCGCACCCTGTACGTGTGTGTGTGTGTGTACTTATTCAAGACTGATTACAAATTTTGTGATGTTAACAGCCCTCAGCGTCAGTTAAGAATAATAGTATAATTGATATAGCATATATTTTTATAAATGGTTATTAAATATGCTAAATTTTCAAGTTGTAAATCTTCTACACAGACAACTGTTAATCCCATGACTACGGATGAGTGTCACTTGTCATTCAAATGTAAATCTCTCTCTCTCTCTCTCAATATATATATATTGAAAAAATTGAACCTAACCTGATGATTCTTCATTTTTGATGGTGAAACTTGAGTTTTGTCAATTTTATTTTTCATTTATTTTATGTTCATATATATATATATATATATATATATATATATATATATATATATATGTGTGTGTGTATAGGATTAATACAAATATAAAAATGCTGGAAGCAGCCCACTTCTTTCAGGTAGACTATTATTGGAAAAACAGATACATTTTTGAAAAGCATAGTAAAGTTTTGTACATCATAGTATTTGTTGCGCATTTTATTGTATTTTTTGCATTTTATTAGGATGTGCTTAACAGTGAACAATTGATCACAAGAGAAGCACTGAAGTGCAGTTTTTGCTTTGAGTAAGTATTTGTGTGTAAGATATGTATGTATATCCTGTCTTTGATCAGGTAATGTTTCTCTATTTTCCAGTCTCAAATTGTTTGCCATTTTCTTTTAATGTATCGTGTGATCTTATTTTTGTAACCTGTATATGAGAGTCTAATGTTGGTTATTGTCATTTTGGTTGCCTCCTTTGCCAGTGCATCAGATTTTTGATTTCCCTTAATGCCTACATGGAAGCCAGGCCAAGATTACCACTTTGTAGGCTTCTATCAAATAGTGACAGGATCTTAGTATTTCATGTATGTAAGTGTGATTTGGCTTTTTTCCTTAATTACTGTTAGGCTGGATAGGGAGTCTTGAGAATATTATGAATTTTCTGTTTTCTGAGTTTTTGATTATTATAAATGTCATTTTTATGGCTTGTAGCTCAACTGTATAAATCTGAGGACAACGAATAGTAAGCTAATGTCACAGACCACTTTTAATGAAGGAGTATGGATATTTATCAAGGGGGGGTAGCTATACCATCAAAAATGTTTTCAACAAAATGATATAAAATCAAAGCAAGTACGCAGGTTGAAATTTTATGAAATATTTATTCCATAAAATAAAAATAAAAATTTAAGTTCCACAGTGGAAAAGTATACCTTTCATTTACAACAGTTTCCAACTCAAAATGTCTATATTACTAGAATAAAGTCAAATCCATCTTCCTGACAGGTTGGAGAGGGACATGTTCCCATTAGGGTCTGTCACCCTATATAAGGGTGGAGTAAAATAAAAGGAAGTTGCTTTTTGAAAAAAGTGCTAGTCAGCTGTTGCTACTATGTATATCCACTACAGCCAATCATATGTATTTGTTGCTACTTGACCCCTGGGCTATTATCAAAGCATATCTATTCTCTTCATTTTAGATGGGAGAAAGTGCCTGGACCTGGGGATGCCAACCCCGTGGCAGCGACTTCCTCATTGCACTAAGAGAGGTGTGGGTCAGTATAATATTGTTGCTAGCATGATAGTGGTTGCAGGGATTGGGCAATTTTTGTGCTTGGCCCATATGTACATGTATGGGTGATCCACACAGAAAAAAAAAAACTTGTATTACATCCTGCCTCAGTGGAGAGGTCAAGTAAATAAAATCTGTTTGTTGCTACTGTTGTGGCATAAACTCACTACACTAATGTAAGATTTGTTTCTCACCGAGTGTCCCAAACTTGTGGCCTGGTGGGGTAAGCCTGATTGGGAGCCTCAGGCAGTCCTTTGTAACTCTCGCTATCTTATCAACATTTGCTTTCTGCTATCTATGTTAAAATTAAGCTAAGCATTATCAACATTTACTTTTTTCTACCTACATTTATAGAAGTTACAAATTAAACTGAACACCACTATTAAGGGTGAAAAATCTTTTGCAGATTTTGATGACATTGTAGGGTATTTTTTTTTCTAAATCCATGAATTTGTTTTGCACAATGTTAAGTCTCAAAAAACACTATATAAAATCCACTATTTTTTATCCATAAATATTAAATGTGTTAAGACTATTTAATATTTTAATAAGAAAAATCTGAAGTTGATGATAAAAATTGCCACAAAACGTTGTTTTATTTAAAATTTAATAAGACGTCTCTAATTTGTATTTTTAGACATTGTATTTATTTTCAATTTTTCTAGTTGAATTGTTTCTTGATATTGTGTATATGATCCATTATTGTACATAATTAGATTACAATAAAATTTATATTTTATATATGAATACTTATTACCTTATGAAAATTATGCAGAAGTAGAGTGCCCCATATCCCCACGGTATCATAGATTCGGGGGTGAGAAGGGCAGGAAATTCTTGCAACGGCCAAGCTTGTGGTTTTAAGCTTAGAAATATCAGTACTACAGACAACTGACAATAATATTACAAGATTTTACTATATATATTCGGTTGTTTGAAAAATGAAAAGTAATGCCATTTTTTCTTTGTTTATGCAACAAATAATTTTTTTCTAAATAAAAAGAACAATATCATTAATAAATAGAAAAAAGCTCACTGAAACTAACAGTCTTATAATTTTTTTGTTTCCTATGTTTTAAGAGGTCGGTTAAGATTATATCTATTATAATCGTGACTTTTATTATGTCCAGTAACGATTAATCATCATACCAACCATTCAACGTCACCGTTTATAACCCAAACTAAAAAAAGCATCACAAACTTAACATTTTTGAAAGAAATTGTTAAGTGAATTGATTGACTACCAGTGAAACATACCATCTTTCTTCTTGGCACTTTTCTTCTTTTTTGGTGGCATTGTGATTCTAATTCACGCTTATTTAGATTTTTTTTAAATTAGCAATATGAACTTTTTTGTTTACTAATAAAAACGCGTAGTTTTCCCGTTGCCAAGGACGCAATTTCAATCCCGCATTTAATTTATACTTAGAGATAGTAAAAATATTTTTGCTTCTATGCTTTTACTAACTTATATATAATTTATTCATATTTAATTAAAATTTTAAAATTTAATAAATTTCTTTTATTAATATTTTCTTTCCTTGTTTTACTAAAAATACTGCCTGCAAAGCGAGAATAAGTAAATCGCAGTTATCTCCCCGCACAAAAAGAAAATTCGTTGATTTGCCAGTTTTCAGTTAAATAAGAATTTTTTTTTATCGATATTTCGTCAAAATTATCATCGTTTGAAACTCTGACAATATAATATTCTACATAAATGTATATTTATACCTTTAGAGTCTGCTGAATAAAATTTGCTTAAAAGCAGCTTAATTTTTTATTCTTTGATTGAAATAATTTCCATTTCTTTTTTGAGTTTTTTGGTTATTTGAAGCCAATTTTTATAAATTTGAAAAAAATGTGAAAACAACAATTTTATTCAAATAAATATACTTGTCATCAAATAATTTAAAAAATATTCTTAAAGTTAGAGTATGCTGGGATTGTATATGAAGTCCTTTAAAAAATGTATGTTATTTTAAATTACATGCTCCTAATGAATACATCCAATTAGACATATTCTTTCAAAGAAATGCATTTTTTGAAAAAAATTCTGATTAAAAATTAAAAAAAGGATTTCCTTGATAACAATAACAAAGATAAAGGAAATAAAGTTTTGGATTTTTGTTTGCTAAATCTGGTATGGTGTTGCAGACACCTATTGCATGCACAGCATATCTGATTTGGGATTTTGCTATATATTTAGAGATTCTTGATAAAATAAAATAAAAAGAATCAGCAATATTATGAGTCCTAGCCAGGCATCTCAGTTTCAGTCACTTTCCCAACACTTTAATATAGGTTCCCTGTGCCTTTTCTATAAATATTTTCATAGTAATTGTTCTGATGAGTTTTCCTCTTTGGGATCTAGACTTTACAAATTTAAGCACAGTACTAGATTGGCAGCTAGGTCTCATCATTTTACTATCGAAATGGCTAGATTTAATTATAAGTTCTTGCTTGTGGAAATCTCATCTGGCTTCTTGCTTTCCAGACAACTTTGGTCTTCAAAAAAATGTTAGTGCAGTGTCAATCTTTTGTCTTTTTAATTTGTTCTTTCATTGTTCTCTCTCCTTAATAATATTTTTCTTTTTCTCTTATTCTTTCAAATTCAGTAACCCCCTTGCATGGGGGTGAAATGATTAAAAAAATAAAAAATTTCCCTTGCTGTAGAGAAATGATTAGCAAGCAGGCACATTACAATTGTAATGGATTCATTCCTGTCTGCACAGCACTCACCCATGATTACCTTGGACCAGACTAAATTCAGCTTAGTAATTAGAATGCCTACTAAGTTCATCTCATTGGTCAATTCATTAGTATTGTAGTGTTCTTTAAAAAGAAAAACTTTTAAATTCTGTATAAATTAAGATTTGGTCAAACAGATTTAATTTATTGCAGACATTATTAAAACATATTCTATTAGTTATCAGTTACAGAAAAAATAAAACCTCTTTATTGGGAATTATTAATATTCTTAAAGTGGATATAAACTTAAAATAAAATTTAATTAACTTATAATTTACTGGAAGATAAAAGTTGCACAACATTTAAAACATCAAATTATTAATTTGCAAAGTTTTAGGTTGTAAGCATGTATAGTTACTAATTTATTATAAAATTTATATTCTTCAACACACTTTCAAATAAAGTTGAGCATTTTTCTGTTAAATATTTGCACACATTTTGCGCATACTATAGTGGTATGGGATTTAGGGGTTAAAATGAACAGTTGATTTATTCACACTAAAAAGATTAATGAAGGATAATAATGACAAGGAAACATGGGTAATTATAACAAAACAAGATAAGGAATTTATTTACAAATTTATACACTTGAAGTAGTGTCGGTAGCTTGTTTCAGGAAAATAAATCACAGTTCTTAAAGTCCATAATTTTAACATATTGTTATGAAGAGGAAATGTTCAGACAAAAGATTAAATGATCTGATACAAAATAATACTAAAAAGGTAGAGTGTATTAGAAGGAGTCAAGCACTTACTGGAAAATTACAAAGAACCAATTTTCCAGGAATCTTTAGTGATGTATTACTATATATGAGTTCCATTTCAGGTCTGGCTTTATGCTAAACAAAACTATACTGAATAAATACTAATAATGAAAAATTTAATATAGGGTAGAAGTCTATAGAATTTTATGGTTGCAGGTTTGTTAATATTGTAGGTCTGTATATATCCTGATGTAAACAAAGAAGCGTACCAAAAACTTGGGTTTATACTATGAACCAATTATTTTTTTCATATTGGAAACTGTAGAGAAACAAAATTCTCAATGTTTCTGGGGTATGTCCATTTTCTTTTTAAGGTTCAGAAGTTAAGGTAAGTATAATCATCATTATAATGGTTGGGCTCAAGTCAGCCTTGTGCCGAGATGAAACTTGATTTACTTCATAGGTGGAGGTTTTGGAAGATCCGTGCAAATGCAATGTGATGGAAAGTGGAAAAGAGAGTTCAGTTGTCAGTGGACCAGGGAACGAACATTCACCAGCAGCAACATTCTTCTTTTCATGTGCTGCTACATCTTGGTGCAAGATGGAGAAATAGGAAAGAAATGTTTTTTTTATAGAACTTAAACATTGCCACCTAATGGGCATTTGACGAAGCCAAGTTGTGTAATCTAATTTCTAATTCCTTTACTCATGGAAAATTGTATTTTTTTTTTTATCATTCATTATTATTTATTGATTTTATTTCATTTTCCCCACAGGTCTGTTTCAAAGATCATTATTACTGTGTAACCACTTCAGTCCTTATTGGGGACCCCATATTCATACTCAGATTAAGCTATGTTTAGTACATAAAAGATACTTTTCACAAAGTAATGGTTAACAAGCTAGTGCTGCGGGTGTAATGGTTACCTTGCTACTTAGTAGTTGTATGATAGAATAAGTAATAGGTAAAAATTATCAGGAGAACTTTTCCTCAACACTCAACATTTTCAGTCACATTTTGATGTTCTGTAAAATATAAAAAGACATTTATCACATATAATCTGGCCAAAAACTTAAAACCAATTAAAGCTTTGTTTCAATTTGGTCTTAAACTTTTGACCAGCTAGTAATTAGCCTAATTTCCTAGTATTCAAATTTGTCCCTATTAAATGCTAAAGTTTTAATTTTTCTTTTTGAGGCTCTACTCAAATAAATGGTTGCATCTAACAATGCAAAAAATATATTTTTTTTTTTATTTTCATTGGCCTTGAGATTTTAGCCAACAGTGTGTGTGTGTATATATATAGTATATATATATATCGACGTATGAGGGTCTCCAGATCAGTTCCCAGGAAATGAGGGTCAACAGATTGTTGTGTGTGTGTGTGTATATATATATATATATATATATATATATATATATATATATATATGACTGACTCTAGGTCATCAATGTTTGTCAGGCTCATTACAATCTTTAACAAAATATACTATTGGTATAACTTAGTTGCTAAAATGATTCCTTTACTCTATAATACATAATTTTTAAGAAAAAAAAGAAAAGAAAACTTAACGTGTGTATGTATATATGTCTATGCATTAGTGTGTTCATGTATCTCTCACTCTGAATTTTTAGCTTTATTGTACATTTTTGGGTCAGTAATCGTGGCTGCTGACTAACCTCATATTTCCTCAACACTCAACATTTTCAGTCACACTTCTCACCCCAACCCTCCAGTTGATGCTTGATTTTCACTAACTTGAAGTCGGACCAAAACTTGGAGTTGCCACTGATATATAGGAAAAAAAGATAAAAGGAAAACTTAATCGACATGTTTCATCCTCTGAGGGACTTTATCAAGGCAAATGTAAGGATTTTATTTTGGGACAAGTATTTATATACAAGGGTAAAAATGTTATTGGTCTTTCAAAATTTTGGTATAGGGGGTGCTCATAAATATTCATTGGGTTGGCAGAAAAGTTTGTACCAAAATATTTTAGATAACCAAAAACATTCTTGCCCTTGTATATAAATACTTATCACAAAAAAAAAAAAAATATCTTTACTCAGAGGGCAAAACATGCCAGCTAATTTTTCCTTTTCCAGATATATACTAGTTGAAATTTTTTTTTTTACACACACACACACACACACACACACGTGTGTGTGTGTTTAGCTTTAATTTTCTGAAAGCCTGTTGCCATGTGACTCTTCCAGGGTAAGGTAAGATGGTAAATAGTGTAACCCGGATATAAGAGAGATTTTCTCTGGTCCCAAATTAGAGCCTGTGTTAATGTATATAAAATAGACCAAACCCGGATATAAGAGAAACCCGGATATAAGAGATTTTTATCTGGTCCCAAATTAGAGCCTGTGTTAATGTATATAAAATAGACCAAACCCGGATATAAGAGAAACCCGGATATAAGAAACTTCTTCTCGGGTCCCGACAACTCCTCTCTTATATCCGGGTTAAACTGTATCTGCTCCCTACAAAGTCTGAAAATTTTATTTTTTACAAAATGCCAAAGAATCAGAGTTAAAGTGAGGGGTTTCATGACATGGGTTTTTTAAGTTCTGCAGAGTTTGTGATTTGAAGAACTCAATTTTTTGGCCTTAATTGGAATTTTGGCCCAAATGAGTTTTAACCAGAACTGAACTTACAGCCTGAATCAGAGTTAAAGTGAAATTTTGAAGTTCCATGAAATGGATTGAAGAATTCAAAATTAATTCTTCAAAATTATCATTGCTATTTTCTAAGCTGGACCAAAGGACTCAAGTTTTGACCCTCCACAGGAGCTAACTTATATATGCGACTTTTAAGCTAGTTTAAAAAAAAAAAAACAAATTCTCATGGAAGTTAAAGTAAGTGAGTAAGTGTGTGTGTGTGGGGGGGAGGATTGATTGTGAGTGATTTGATGGTTATGGCAAAATTACTTACATGCTGAATAGCAGCTGTCCAGGGAACAGAAAAATAGGACAAGAGAAAGATTTTTGAAAGCACACCACATATTAAAATTTAAATGATCGTAATTCAGTGTTTCTCAACCTTTTTAAGCAATGGCACCCCTAAGAACAAATGAAAATATCATGGCATACCTGGCAATATTTTTAAAGGGTATACATTTAAATGTTATGAAATAAAACCATAGATTAAAAAAAAAAAAAAAAAAACACACAAATTTGAACTTATTTTATCTCAGTGTTTCTTTTCAACTATTTGTGCAACTTATTTAGTGTGAAAACTGTGCCTGGTGTTTTTTCACAATTTCTTCAACGTTTGGTTGAATGTGTGATAAGCAGGCCCTCATTTCTTCATCAGTTGAGTGTAGTCTCTTGCTTCTTCTTTCTTTTATGGTATTTAAAGTTGAGAAGCCTAATTCACATAAATATGAAGTAGAAAATTGCAATAAAACTGATAAAGCCTTTTTAGCTAATATGGAATATTCTTTTCGTATTGAAATCCAAAATGTATCAATGGGTATCATTGAAGGTTTTATTTTGAGCCCTCTGTCACTGGAAAGAGTAGCCAATTCTTCTTCAGATAACTGAAGTCCAATATTAGAAGAAACAGTGAAAAGAATTATTTGAAAAATTGTTTAATACTTATTCATTTATTCAAATACTAACGTTGTACTATTGCTACTTCCACATGGCACACTAGTGCTCCATAGCATGGCAGTTGAGAATAACTGCCCTATTGACTTGACTATGTATCTAAGGGAGATAATCCACTTCCACAACATGTTCATGTTTATTTATTGTTTGTGTTTTTGGTTCCCACAGACCAATAAACGCAACAGTGATTTTGATTTCAGATATTGCCATTGTTTGTGCTGCTCTTCCCTGATCCAGGAATTGTCAAAGGCATGGAAAAGAGTGGGAAGAAGCTTTGTTAAAGTTAAACCAGGAATGGGATGACGACTACGAAAATGAAAGACATATCAAGTCCAGTGGTTGTCTGATAAACAGATACTTCAATACTTTTACAAATTTAAGTGTAGTACTACAGTAGCAGCTAGGTCTCATAATTTTACAGTTGAAATGGTTAGATGTAATAGCTTGTGAAACTCTTCCAGCCTCTTTCTTTCCAATCAATTTTGATTTTCAAAAATTTAAATGCAATATCAATTGTTATCGTCCGTCTTAATTCCTGCTCTTTTATTGTTCTTCTCCTTAATGTTTTTCTTTTATTCTTTCAAACTCAGTAACCCCTTGCATATTAGTGGGTTTTATTGCCTTACTTGAGATGAAATGATGATAAAAAAAAAAAAAATATATTTGGCGTTTCAATTGGCTCATGACTAAGTTCCTGACCACTGACGGTTATTTTTGTTGAAAGCTCCCCACATTGTTCATCAGGAGTGCCCCCTCCCTGGCATTAATTTCTGTGCTATATCTGGAGGAAGTTTCATCAAGGTTCTTCAAACAGATGTGTTCCTTCTTTGTCAGCTTGACCATCTATGCCACCTGCAAAGCAGGTAGCAACCACCAATGCTGACTGTGCACTGGTGTTCTTCAAGGACGTCACTCATGATGCATTTGATGAAGATGTTAGAGTGCAGTAGACAAGACATTTAGAGAGGACCAAACTTGTGAGGCACAAACACATACACATTATCACTATTCTGAGTGTAACACCACTTATTCTGTCAAGGGAAAAAAAAAAGACATAAAACCTAAAACTTTTGCTAATTTAAAAAAAAAAAAAAAAAAAAAAATTCTTTTAATAAATAAATAAATAGTTTGAAAATATAGGAAAAATTTTATTTACACTTCACATAATCTAATTGGTCCAGAGATTTTAAAAAATGGTCAGCAGTATAACAATTTTACAATAAATTACAGATCCATTCTTAGGGGTTGAAAGCAAAAATTTGAGTCGTAATACTCTGAAATAGGATTTGAGAGAGAAACAAGTGATTTAGAATGAGGAAGATATTTTCCCTGTTAATTTAAAAATTAAGCAGAGATTAATTTGGAAGAAATAAGGGCCATTAAAATCCATTTGAAAATATTTACACCATTTAACTGAAAATATAACAAAACCAATGACAATTCATTTAATAACTTTCAGATTCAGGTGGGGACTCCTTATTAAATTCCATTTAAGCAAATAAAAAGGTTCTCAGGTTTTAAAAATGGAACTTGACTAGATATCATATTATATTACAGCTCAAAACTAAAACTGCTAAAATATATATATGTCGTTTTTTTTTTTTTTTTTTTACTCCTCTTGCTTCATTCTCTTATAAAAACAATAAGAATACTTTCAAATCATTTATGGGGGTGCTTGAAGTAAGAATTTTCCTTTTTCATTCATTAGGATGGAGTATCATCATTAAAAAGAAAGTTAAAAACCGAAATAATAATGAATTTTTAATCCAATTCAAAATTCTTTACTTATCTAATATTTAGCTAGATAAAAAAAAAGTTTAGCACCTTAAATCTATCATTAAAGAAAAATTATTTAAAAATGTTTTAATTTATTATGACTTCACACCCTTAAAAATAAAATAAAAAGAAAGCAAACCCTTCATGAAAGGAAAAAAAAAAAAAAAAAAAAAAGTGGGGGCATAAAATGGTCAACAGATCACAAATTAATTCTTTGTTTTTTCTTTCTCTTTTTTTTGAAATAAATGATTTAAAAAAGTTGGAGTTAGTTTAAAAAGAAAATGTCCTGCAAAACTTGATTCTCAAAAGTTAATTCTTGTTTCTGAGGATAAGTGGCTTTGATATTTTGCCTAGAAATTTTTTTCATCTTCGATGGATTCTGATGTGCATAATGCTCTGGACTCTTGTTATCTTCTGGAGGCTTCAGTTCAATTGAATCAATTAAGTCAATTAGAGACATTGAAGATTGCCTAAATTTAAAAAAAAAAAAAACAAAAAAAGTAAAAATGATAAACTTAAAAAGACAAAACAAAAAAAAAAGTTATATAAAAATACAATTTTGTCAATTTTCTGCTGTAATTAAACATTAATCATTTCACTCCAAGCAAGGCAATAATGCCACTAAGATTACTGAGAGTGAAAGAAAATGAGAATACATTAATGAGGAGAAAGGACAATCCAGGAGCAGGATTCTGGAAGATGGCGATTGATGTTGCATTTAAATTTTTGAAGATCGTAGGTAACAGGGAAGCAAGAATCTGGAAGAGAGTTCTACTGGTTAGAAATAGGAGAAAAGAAACTATTAGAATAGAACTTACAGTATAACTATTTATTTTTGTCTACCAGCTGTAATAAGATTTCTCAAATATTCAGGCTCATAGGCAAAAATAAAGATACTGTTTAATAAATAAATGGAGCATCTACTCAAATATGAGTATCCACTAAAAATAATGTTTAAGTAATAATATGTTGGATTAATAAATAAAAAAAATCCATCCCTTTTTTTTTTAGATATTGCTTTGTTTATTTTAAGATACAATTTTGAACAGATATATATCTATTTCAAGAGTCAGAGAAAATCTGTTTAAAAAAGGTACTATTCAACTTTGCTTAACCCTGTGGCTGAGAGCTCTGAAGCACATCAGATCTAATGACAGTTTCAAATCCTACTGTTAGCACATATTTTTCTTTAATAAGACTTATTGAATATTCAGGCCAGAAAATGCATTTACATAAAATAAATAAAAGGAGCATCTACTAAAAATAATGTCTAAATAATAAAATCTGTCAGATTAATAAATAAAAAATCCATCCCTTTCTTTAGAAAGTATATAAGGAAGATTAAGTGTGAAACATTTTTCATGTGACACATTTTGTCTGATGAAGCCATAAATAATAAAATCTGTCAGATTAATAAATAAAAAATCCATCCCTTTCTTTAGAAAGTATATAAGGAAGATTAAGTGTGAAACATTTTTCATGTGACACATTTTGTCTGATGAAGCTATAAATAATAAAATCTGTCAGATTAATAAATAAAAATCCATCCTTTTTCTTTAGAAAGTATATAAGGAAGATTAAGTGTGAAACATTTTTTCATGTGACACATTTTGTCTGATGAAGCCATAAATAATAAAATCTGTCAGATTAATAAATAAAAAATCCATCCTTTTCTTTAGAAAGTATATAAGGAAGATTAAGTGTGAAAATTTTCATGTGACACATTTTGTTTGGCTTTATAAATAATAAAAAAATCTGTCAGATTAATAAATAAAAATCCATCCCTTTCTTTTATGAAGATTAAGGTGAAACATTTTTCTGACACATTTTGTCTGATGAAGCCATAAATAATAAAATCTGTCAGATTAATAAATAAAAATCCATCCCTTTCTTTTTTAGAAAGTATATAAGGAAATTAATGAAAATTTTTCATGTGACACATTTTGTCAGATTAATAAAAAATAATAAATAAAAAATCCATCCTTTTCTTTAGAAAGTATATAAGGAAGATTAAGTGTGAAACATTTTCATGTGACACATTTTGTCTGATGAACATAAATAATAAAATTTCAGATTAATAAATAAAAAATCCATCCTTTTCTTTAGAAAGTATATAAGGAAGATTAAGTGTGAAACATTTTTCATGTGACACATTTTGTCTGATGAAGCCATAAAGAATGAAATGCTTCATATGAAAAAAATTTTTGAACTTTATCAACATTATTCCATACAATTTCACATTATGTTCTTACTCATTTGTTACATTCATTATTTCTGTTCCCTAAGATTCAATGTGAAATTAAGGAAAAAAAAAAAGCTCCAAAACCATGAAATAAAGTAGAAATTTTTATCTGCAACAGTTGAACCACAAAACTGCAACAATGGAAATTCTAGTTATACAGTGGGGGGAAATAAATATTCGTACACATGAAAAATTGTATTTTTTAAATGTAAAAGCCTTAACTAAAACAAATTGATACATTTTATGTTTAAAGATACATTTTATTAAAAAATAGTAATAAACTTAATTCTTATTCTAACAGAAATTAATACATTTTTTCATTTTAACTGATGAAAAAAGTATTCGTACAAAACAAAAAAAGCATATTAATTTAATACTTTGTGGAATATCCTTTATTAAGTTCAACAGATACCAGTCTATTCCTGTACGCCTCAACTAATGATTTGCACACATTGAGTGGTATTTTGTCCCATTCTTCTTGGAATATTGTCTTCAAATTCTTGATATTTGTTGGTGCTCTTTTCCCAATTTAAATTTTCAAATATCGCCATAAATTCTCAATTGGGTTCAAGTCTGGGGACTGACTTGGACATTGCAAGACATCAACGTTACTTTCAGCTCACCATTTCCTTGTAGATCTAGCGGTATGCTTAGGATCATTATCCAGTTGGAAGACCCAATCAAGAGGTAGCTGAAGTCTCTCAACAGAACGCATTGTCTTGCAGGATTTTCTGGTAGCTTTCAGCATTCATCTTGCCATCTATTATTGATATTCTGCCAACATCTTTTGCAGAAAAAAAGCCCCAGATCATGATACTGCCACCGCCAAACTTTACAGTTGGCAACGTGTTCTTTGGTAAGTAAGCTTCACTATCCTTCCTCCACACATAATTTCGATAATTATGACCAAACAACTATTTTAGTTTCATCTGTCCATAGTACTTTTCCCCAAAATGAATATTCTTTATCCTTATGCTCTCTAACGAATTTTAGCCTAGCATCTCTGTGTCGTTTCAAGAGGAGTGGAGTCTTCATTGGGATGCATGATTTCAGACTGTTTTTGTGTAGTTCATTACTTATTGTACGCTTGGTTACTTTAATCCCTAATGCACGCAGATGTTCCTGCAGCTCTTCTTGGGTAACCTGTGGATTTTGTTGGATCTGGTGTCCTAATATCCTTGCTGATCTTAGAGAAATCTTCCTCGGAGCACCTGTTCATCTTTGGTTTTCGACGCTGTTACGAGTTTTAAACCTTGCAATGAACAAAGCAATTATAGTAAAAGGAATATTCAGGTTGTTAGAAATCATTCTGCAACTGTTCCCATCTTTCCAAAGAGACAAAATGTGTTGTTTTTGTGAAATAGTCAATTCTTTACCTTTAGGCATTATTAGAACCTTCTCGTAAGACTAGAAATTGCAGAATGCTCTGATAATGGCTAATAGCATTAACTATAATTACTGATAACATTACTGGAACATTCTAAAATATACTTTTTTCATAATTGATTATTTTATTCTAATAATCGATTTGTACGAATACTTTTTTCACCAGTTAGAATTAAAAAAATGCATTAATTTCTGTTAGAATAAGAATTAATTAAGTTTATTATTTTTTAATATTATGTGTCTTTATACATAAAATGTGCTGAGATTTATTTTATTTAAGGCTTTTACATTTATAGAAATACAATTTTTCAAGTGTACGAATATTTATTTCCCCACCACTGTATATCACTAATGGCTTAAAGTAGAGAAAAGGATTTCCATCACTGATCCTGCATTTTGTTGAAAATTTATTTCTATAATATTCTGTGAAATTTTTTTTACATAAATGGCAAGAGCAATTTTGAAAAGTAAATGGAGCTTCTTTTTTTTTTTGTATTTATATCTAATAAGATATTTTCAGCCAGCAAATAAATATGTCATTGATTTCTAAGTGGTAAATATAAAAATTTCTAAGTGAATTCCCTCCACACCCTAAAACAATGAATCAGAAATAAATTAGATCATATTTTAATTCAATGATTAGTGTTTTTTAAACTTATTTTCTGGTTCAGTGAAAACGGGATGCATATGGAGTTTCATTTAAAAATACAAATTGACATCACTTGACTAAACTGTAGAAATATTCCACCTTAGTCCAAGTAATTTTTCAGATATCAAAATAGGTAATTAAACAAAGTAGTATTCAAATAATAAAGGACTTACTTTGAAGAGAAACTGCAGTTGGACTGCAAACTACAACAATCATCATCTATAGTTGGAAAGTTTTGTTCAACTTCATTGGAACTTGAAAAAAAAAAAAAAAAAAAAAAAAAATAAATAAATAAAACAAAAAATTTAGAATTTTCAGTTATTTAAAGTATTTCAGAAAAATTAAATTCAATAAGACCATATTAAATTTTTTTTTAATCCATCTATCTTCTGAGCTATGGGTTAAATAACAAGCTCTCCTGTTTTGGATGGCATCCAATCCAGGAAAAGGATTACTATGAATGAAAACAATTCCTCTATCTTTTCCCAAAAGACATGACAGTTCACAGATAATAAAGAAAAAGAATCTATGAAAAGCCATATCTGCTTATGTTCTAAAGGAACATGGCATTAAGAAAAAGAAAAAAAAACATTGAGTAATAGCATTCATAAACAAAAAAAAAAAAAAAAAAAAAAAAAGTATGACAATTCATAGTATTATGTGCATTGGTAATCAGTAAAAATTAAAGTAAATTAATTTCCTACGTGTACACTGGTGGTGGTAGTGGTGGAGATGGTGGTGGCAAAGAATCAGGTTTATTTCTTCTGAGAATTGGTTCACTGTTTGAGGTCTTGTCAAAACAATTTAAAGGTAAATTGTTTGTAATGAGCAAAGCTCCTCCCAGTCCTTGGACAATGTTAGGTCTGGACTCTCTGAGTGGATAATCCGTACTTCCTTCAGGACTCTGAGTGGGAAAACCTGGAAATGGAAAAGGTCAAGTGACAGAAATTATTTCATTTTGTTTTTTTTTTCTAATTAATAAAGAAAAGACTGCTTACTATTGTTAATTTCTGAATTGTATTTCTATCTTCATTTAATTTCTTTAATAGTATTAATAGTAATATTAACGTGAATTCTATCACTACTAGGTGAATCATTGTGAATTATTAATTTTTGACTCATTTCTTTCATCTTAATTACAATTGCTTTTCAATGTCTTCTATAGGTATCAGCAAAGAATAAGGATCAGAAGCAAAGAATAAGGATCAGAAGCAAAGAATAAGGATCAGAAGCAAAGAATAAGGATCAGAAGCAAAGAATAAGGATCAGAAGCAAAGAATAAGGATCAGAAGCAAAGAATAAGGATCAGAAGCAAAGAATAAGGATCAGAAGCAAAGAATAAGGATCAGAAGCAAAGAATAAGGATCAGAAGCAAAGAAAGTCTTTTGGTGAGACTCAAACTCTACATTTTATTCTTTAATAGTCAGTTCTCTGTACCACTCTAGAAAGTACTAGACTCCTGCTATCCTCTACCTTTACAAGAGTTAGATCAGGCCAAAAATGGAGTACTGCTACCATATGCCACTTTCCAGTCTTGATAGAGAGTCCAAAAGTTTCTCTGCGTCCTTGTGACAAATTATTTTCCACCCTACAACCTCTTTTCTCACAGATGAAATGTTGCAAGCCTCTTTTCTGCTCTATTGCTATTTCCATGGAAAGTGTTCAGAGGAACTACGCTCCTTAGTTCCACCAGTCCTAAGCCTTATGGTTAAGATCTGCCATGCTAGGCACATTGTAGCAAACCACCTTCATCCCCTTTATATTCCTTTGGGGAAATTAAGTTCTGCTTGGACAGCTTCTTCCCACAAACCACTTCCTTGTGGAACAGACTCCCAAAAGGTTGCTATGCTGATCAATCTTAACCTGTTCAAGTCTAGGGTAAACCATAATCTTTCCCACATATCCACACAAGCTGTGTGTCTTACTCTGTAACTTTACCTTGAGTGGCCCTTGTACAGGAGGAACATCATTGTAAAAAAACAAAAACAAAAAAAAAAAAAAAAAAAAACAAAAAAACATTGTTTTAAGTTATTGCAAAGACAAGCAACTGAAATTATAATGAAAGAAATACTCATCAAAAATTAATAAGGTTTGATAATGCTTTATCTAAATAATAAAATTCAAGATGTTATTACTAATATTTCTATTTCAAATAAAACAAATGAAATCAAGATAAAAAAAATGTAGTAGAAAATAATGGGTGGCAATCTTATCTAACAATAAAAAATTAATGATATTACTACTAATACTTAGTGTAAATAAAATGTGTGAAATTAATGTTGAACAATATTTCATTTAATAAAGATTAAAAGACAGCTATAGAGGAGTGCTGAAAACCTCTTGGCCCAACCAAGAAGCCCTTCCAAACAAAAGCCTTATGTTTTAGTCATATTTTAGGAAGTGGGTTTGATGGAAAAAAAAAAAAACTCCTCAGTGTTACATCATAATTCAGTGCTTAAATTTTTCTCACAAACCACTCTTATGAAGTTCTTTCATCACTAAGTGTTCTACAATTGTGCCTATGCGTCAAAGTTAAGCTCATTCAACAAATAGTAAAGAAGACGGCCCTTTTGTCAGCCTGGACAAAGTCTATTGCCTATCATTCATCCTTTCTAACCTTCACAAGCTTTGAATGAAAGAAGATAATATGACTATTGGTCATGAGGTACAAATGATTTTTAGAAATGATCAAGCCATTTAACAAAGAAGTAGCCAACCTAAAACAATGGTGCCTTAGTCTACATCAGAGCACTCCTCTTGGGACATTATTGGAGTATCAGAGTAAGCCTTCTACTTTTCAAAACTAAAAGTCCATTTTCAAGATTACCATCAGTTGCTTCATCACATGGTCTGAAATCTCATCCCTTTCAATAGTAATTTTAGTTTTAGGAAAAGCCAGAAAGTGCAAGGAGTTATATATTATATTATATATTATAAATTAACTGATTTAAAAAATGTTTTTCGCTACACAGTAATAACTATGTTTCAAAAACTGAAGCTAAAAACTTCAAATTTAATTATATAATTAAATTAAAAGCATTAGTTCCATTTCATCTTCAAGTGAATTTTGGAATAACTTATTTTTAAATTAAATGAGTTTTAAACGCACATATAAATTCATAATTTCCTGTTTCCAAGGATACAGAGAAATCCAATCATTCAGACAGAGGCGGTAGCGTGTTCATTTTTATTAACTATTGTTGTATCAATTATGACTTACGTTAAAAAAAGAGGTTAAGTTTAGGGAGGGTAGGGATGTATTTTTCAACAAATTCTGACATCTGTTAAACGTATGTTGTCTGGGTTTTTTTCGGCATTTTTTTTGTACTTGTATACTTTAAAAGATTCTATCATGGGTTGTTTGGGTTAGAATACATTTTATTTAACTACAATTTTAAAATATTTTTTACTCTTAATTACTAATAGACTATTTCTTTTTAAAACAAGTAAATGTAATAGAATTACTTAAATTATTTAAAATTATTTTTTCATATCGAATATATGTATGTATATTACTAGCTCCCATTTTTTTTAATTTTATTTTTAAATATTATTTAAGGAAAATTTTTGACAATGACGGCAAAGAATAGCCATTTCATTTCTCTGATTCAGTAAATTATTTTTTATAAACTTAGTAATATATAGTTTCTCATGTATGCACAAAGGACATGGGTCATTTAATGACCTACATATTCTAGCTTTTCTTATTAATTTCCATTTTACTGTAAGTGTTTTATTGGATTCTTTTAAGTTGTCCAGTAATCACTTCTATATCGGAGGACTGAAATTACATAACAGTTCAGTACTCTTCTTTGTTTCTAAGGAAATTTTCCTGTTTCTTAATAGTTTGCTTAACTTTTGTAAGGCATCTTTCACTATCCTAATGTGCCTTCAGATTTCAGTGTCACATTTTCTATCCTCTGTTAAAACACTTAATAAAAATAAACTTAATGAATACAATGTGTAAAAACAACTGATATATAAATCAATAGATCTTGCAACAAAATCTATTTGCTTAGAAGAGAATGTTGATGTGTGAAGGAACAAAAAGAAAAAAAAAAACTCAATAATGCAGATTAAATTCTTGGCTTTAGTTGATCTCATTAATATCCAGAATTTCACTTAAAGAAATTTGTATCATTCATAACATGCACATCAGTCATCATTATAATTTTAACAGTAAATTACTCAACCTTGAGTGGCTCTTGAGTCTTGTATTGGGTGAATTCTCATTAAAAACTAGATTCATATATCAATGCTATTCAAGGTCTTATCCTCCTTTCAATCACTGCGGAATGAATATTCATGATCACAATCCATTAAGGTTGTAGGGGCACCACATGTACTGCATCCGCAGCATCAGTGGTGTGTCCTGGGCAAGATAGCCTGACAGAGTCCAACCCTCTCCAGGTTGGTTTTCCTTCTTGACTGGTTGCCAACCAAGGCTATAAGACCCAGTCTGCCTTACTATTTACCCATACCTTTGAGATGGTGGGGAGGAGAAGAGATGTATTCATACTTTTCCCAAAGTTATTTGCATGTAAGTGAATGTAATGAACTCAACCAGAATTCAAACTATTTTTAGATTTCTCATTCTGAGCCATTATCCTTTACACCACTGTGCATCTGAACAAATATTAGATGCAGTACCATATTTCCTGTATGCTAAGATGCTACAAGTGATAAAATGCACCCTACATTCAGTTTGGTATTTTTTTGAAAAAAAAAAAAAATTTGAGGATTTAATAGCATACTGTACTAATAAGTTCAAGCTGCTAAATGTACAGTGTCATTTTTCTTTCTATTACAACAAATTATCACATTTTTGGACCGATTAAATATTTGTGGTTATTATTTCCAATAGTTTCACTCAAATTATCACATCAGAAACAAATACTTGCCACCACAAGGCATCTCAACATATGACGTGTTCCCATCCAACTCCCAGCTACTGATGTTTCAGGGCTGTGTTGAAAAGTACAAACACTGTGTTGCATTTGCATTGTTACTAACACTGTTACTGTACAAATATATTATCAACTATCCGTTTGTATTATTATAGTAATTAACATTGGGGCTTATGAAGTTACTGATGTAATGGAATAACCTGTCACCTCCATTAGCAACTACATTACAGGTAGTAATTACCTATAAGTATCTGTAAGTCAACAGACTACAGAGACTAGCTGGTATCTGTTCCAGCTAAACAGTCGAACTCTCTGCATGAAGGCAGAGAGGAACCCAGACAAGGCTCCAATACTTGAGGAAAAAAACAGAAAACAGAACAGTATGATACTAATGGGATATATGGTACTTATTACACATGAATGATAATTGTAGGCTTATATTATACTAGTGAACTTTTAAGTTAGCTCCTGCAAAGAGCTAATTGAGCATCTGGCTCAAAACTAAAGAGACCTCTGGTCCAGTTTAGAAAACAGCAATCATAATTTTGAAGAAATAACTTTGAATTCCTTAATTCAGTCCATGGAACTTCAAAACCTCATTTTGATTTGGGCTATAAATCCAATTCCAGGCAAAAGACCCATTTGGACTGAAAAATCAATTCAGACTAAAAACCAATTTCTTCAAATCACAAACTCTGTGGAACTTCAAAACATCATGAAAACTCTCACTTTAATTCTGATTCCTTAACATTTTGAAGAAATAAAATTGATTTCCCTCAATTCAAAGTTTTGGAAATATTTTAAATTGAACTTAAAGCAAAATTTTTTAAATTCAAAGTTGTTGTGTTACTCTAAACTCAATATAAATTAAGAATTTTTTAAATTACTAATTTTTTTAGTTATTTTAAAATTTGAATTTTAACTGTTTCCTTGTCATCCAGACACAAATATAAATGTTTTGAACAAGATTTTCAATCCTGGGATCATCCCAGATTCCAAAAAAGTATTTTAAAAGTTAGGAGGATTCAGAGATACAGATGTTAGACAGAATTTGCCATTTATTTATTTAGATGTTTCTCTTTGTCAATTCCTCTCTCAATTTACCTTTCATTAAGATGCAGGTAATTTTTAGGCATTTTCAGGAAAAGAAATGCATCTTAACATATTGGAAATATGATAATTAGGTTTTTCAGTTACAATGCAAATGAATGTAATTAGTGGTCCAAAAACTCCAACTGAAGATTTCAGTGTCTCTTTTTTTTTTTTTTTTGAAATGGTATCTTGTCATCAACATTTCCCCTACCAAGCTGATATAAAGTCTGATTCTGAACAACAATCTATTGTTGTATACATTACTATCTTACTACCTCCCCGCATTCTAAAAGATAGGATTTTGGAGCTGGGTTTAACTCCCATTGTTTACAGTCAAATCACTTTGAAAGCATTGGTTTTCATTCATTCACCAAAGTTAAGCAATGATGAGCTGGGTCAGTACTTATATGGGGGACCACTTGGGAACACTGGGTACTGTAAGATTTCACAGAATGGTTAAATTAACTCATAGTAAAGGGTTGGTAAAACTTGCTTAATGTCAGAGACACAAGACATGAACAAAACTTATACATGTTTTTGTTATATACACATTAAGATTAAACTTATGTTTTAATCTAATGGGGTTTCAATTCATACACAGTAATTATAAAGATTGAATTTTTTCTTATTTACCTTTTATATTAACTGTGGTGAAAAAGAGCTCAGCCAACATATTTCCACAAGCCACATATTCAAGTTCCACATGTAGCTTGCAAGATGCGGTTTGGCCACTCCCACCATAGGACAATCTCTGCTATAGCTGTAACATTACTCAAAGTGAGCACCCCTAAGAAACGACGAGTACACAGCACAATTAGATCCTAAAAGATAAAATAAGAACTTACCCTTTGATACTGCAGTTTCAAAAGCAGGGGCCAAATCCGGACGCTCGAGAATGGCCAAGAGACGATTTCGTTCCTCTTCCAAGAGAGCTCTCTGCTGCAGAAGAAATTGGCGTCGTTCTTCATTGCTCATCAAACGAAAGCAATCTGTATTTGGAGTATCTGGGACTTTGATTTCCTTTCCATCATCAGCAGATCGAATAGGTGACCCAGGGTTTGATAACTCCTCACTCCCATCTGCAAATGACACCTTACTGACAGCAGCACTGCCTGCTTCATTAACAGCAGCAGAAGTGCCAGTCCCAGAATGGGGTGCTTTTTCAAGATGTGTTAAGGCTGTTGGCAAACTCTGTGCAGAAGAAAAACTCAATTTTCTTACATAACTGTAATCAGTGTCACTTTGAGCGGTTTCAAATTTCAATGGAGCACAAGGATTTGTGCCAGAATCTTTGTTCGACAGAAAACAAGCAGGTAAACTCCGTATGGAACCAGATGGACTCCGAAGAACACAAGACTGATTGTTAGCAGTGTTCTGGGAAACATAGGAACCATTGAAACGCAGTTCAGAACTTCTCTGTGTACTGGACATGATTGGATCCTGAAGTGGTCCAAGAGAGAGGCGTGTTTTGGATTTATTTGTAAAAGTGGCATTTCTTTTAGGGAAGCCAATGCTTGGAGAGAAAGTTCTTTCATTGCAACAGGAAGACAGTGTGCTGGGTTTTGGAATACGTTCCGCAGTTGCATTATTATTTTGGTTTCCTGAATTATTGGAACAATTAAGTCTTGCCGTTGGAGATCTTTGGAAACGGTTAGGAAATTCTGAGAGGCTTTCAACATCAGAATGGTCCCTAACAAAAGTATCTGTTTTTTCATACGCACCAGGTGCTGAAGGACTGGTCTTGTAAATTGCCGTGGCTGGTTTTAAGTTTGGTCTTGTGCTTTCAGGTACAGAGTGAGGCTTAGGCAGTGGCGACTTGTTAGTCGGTTGATCCCTTGAGAGGCAAGGTGAAGTTCGTGGTGACACATGATTGTCAGCTTCATTAGTCAAAGGTAACAGGTAGCTTGAATTAAACTTTGGATGCTGAGTGTTCATTCTCTCTGGAGGAAAACTAGAAGGTGAGAGACTGCGGCACTGTTGGGGACTATGATGACGACGGTGGATACAATTTCTAGGGGATAAATTGTCGGGTTGTTGAATACGGGGTGAGAGGCTTCGACGAAGACGAGGACTATGATGGGAGAATCCAGGCTGCAAACTGTCTGGTTGGAGACAGGAAGGTGAAAGACTTCGACGAGCATGCTTTGCTGGTTGTAGGTTATCCCCAAGGCAAGAATTGTTACTCAATGGCTGGGCCCTTGATGATTGCTTTGGTGGTAGTTGCAAAGAATTGCTTTGAATTTTTGTGCCATGCTTTGCATTCTCCTGAATATTAGACATTAAAAACAGAATATTAACAACACAATCAGTAAAGACATAGTTGACAAGTATTAACCCAGGAATCATTAAAAACAAGTTATAAATATTTATTCTGTTAGCATTGTCAATATGTTGAATAACAAAAATTATTATTATAATTAGAATATGAAAGACTTTTTTTTTTCTACTTCGAGACAAATTTTACTTAAAAAAAAAAAAAAAAAAAAAAACTTGTGCAGTTTAGATTAAGAACTTGTTTGGTACATAAAATGTAAATTAAATGCTGTTCAATTTGGACCAGCATGTTCACCAGAGTTGGTATGCTCACAAGATCTTGGCTTCTTTCCTCTCCAGTCTTCTTCAGGTGCGTCTCATACTAGAGAACTTTACCGTAATTTTGAACCAAACCTTTTATTCAATACACAAGATTGTTCTCAATCTGGCTTTCATGCATCATGAGTATCTTGTATTTCATTCTAGTTTATCTTTCACTATTCCTGGTTTGAAAAATGACACAAAAGTTAATAGATTAAGGAAAAATTAACTGATACAAGATACTAAATAAGCATAGAATTTGGAATGAGAATAATCTACCCCTGTGGATTGAATAAAAGGTTTGGTTCAAAATTACAACAAATTATAACAGACATTTGTGGGTTACCTAACTTGGCTTTGTCAAAACACTGGTTAGATGGCACTGTTTAAGTTCTATAAAATGACAAACATATTTCCTCTTTTTTTCTTTTGCTGCAAAATGTAGCAGGACATCGATGAGGATGTTCCCACTGGAAATTTGTCTTTCACACATGCATATCACATGCACAATTCTTAATAAGTTAATAACTTTTTAATATTTTGTTTTCTTTTTCAACTATGTGCATACTAGCACAATTTCCATTAATACATTCATTGTTTATTTAAATTCCATCTTTTGCTTCTTATTTTTAACCAGACTCACGAGTCTACCAAATATTGCTTGTGGGACAAATGTACCAGGAGGCATAGAATGAATAACTCACAACCACCAGGAGCCATTAAATATTTACAGAAAAATGTCCACACCATGCAACAAAAGTTGTAACTTCTGCAAAACATTTAAAGAAGGTTGTAGAGTATAACTGCTGAAATGTAAATGTAAGAACCAAGTTGTTATAATTGAATGAATAGAAAGACATACAATAAAAGAATTGCTCATTTAAAAAAGAAATTCGAACTTATAAAACCTAAATCTTTGGCAAGATGCAAGCAAAATCAAATTTTATCCGAAATATACTATATTTAGTTATAGGTACTTAATAAGCTTAGTATAGTAAAAAAGGTCAGAATTTTGGGTACAGAGTAAGAATCAAATTCCAGTAGTAATCGTCAGTAGGAGAAGCTTGCTAAGTACAACAGGGCTCCTAGTCTAATCATAGAATAAAATTTTCAGAGAATTCTCTGAAAAATTCCACTGATTTCGGGACATTCCATAAAGACATTAGTAACTATACAGCTTTTTCATAATATACAATGCAACATCTTTACTCCAAATATAAGTGCACTTATCTTAGCAGGCAGAGTCTGATATGAAACTTGTTTTTAATGGGAACACTTGGAGAGAGGAAAAAAAAAAAAAGAAAAAAAAGAGGGATGGTATTTGTGGTGTGCCAGTAGAATTCCCATATTTCTTATGCTTTTCAATGTGACTAATTTTACTAATTTGTGAGAACAAATAACATTTAGCATTTATTTTCAATTTTCAGTCTAAAAAATTATAGTGTAAACTTGTCATTTGATGTGTGTCAATTAGAAAAATTGAGATTAAAAAATTCCAACATTAAACCAAAAATTCCATGATATATTTCTTTTCTGATAATTCCCAGATTTGTTTTCCAGTTTGGCTGTAAAAACCTGGTTTAAGACAGACCTTTAAATGGCTCCAGACAATCTCACCCAGATCATGTCAGAACCATCCCAAAAAACAACTAATTACAACAAAAGAAAATTTAAACCCTTCCAAAATCAAATTTTTTTTTAACTTATCCTTCATAGTTGTTGGTAGCATAATAAAAACACTGAGTAATTTCATTGAGTAATATGGGAAAATACCTATGTGCCACACCCTTTATGGTGTGAGCAATCAAGGCGCTCCACTACGTTCTGTCCTTTGTAGTTCTCAGTAAATTTTGTCTTTTCACTATTACTCTTAATCCCTATTCTGCCAGCCACTTACACAAGCAGGTTATACATTGCTTTCCTCTGTCGCTTAATGACCTCCGAGTGTCAAAGCCCTCTACAACCTAGAAGTTTTCAACTGTCTCCTTCTGATGTTAGGTATAAGTGTCCATTTTGTTTCCATATTTTATAAAACCATGTCATTTTTCACATGTTCCATTGATGGTATTAGGTAATATTTCTTCTAATCTATTCAATCTTTAAATTTTGTTCTCTGTACCCCAGAGATACTATTATGAAATCTATTCTTTTTTTTTTTTTTTTAACACAAGTAACACATGTTGTAACAAAACTTTATAAAAGCTAGAATATTGAAAGTTTTAAAATTGAATAGATATGAAAATGAATTAATTAAATTTTACTTAAAAAAAACAACACTTAAATCACCTCAATTTTACATGGAAATGTTTTTAATTTTCTTGCTAAAAATAATTTTTATTACCACAATTCTATTGTATTTCCAAATAAAAGTCTTACTGGCACCCAGTAGACATTCAGGTCTTTGTGTAACATGTTAAATTCCAGTACTTAAACTGTAACTTAGTACTTATCAGTCTTGTTATGGTTTAGTAAAATTATTGTTTGGTTGTCAATCTGACTTAACAATATTTAATAGGATATTAGAATATACCAATTACCAACTTGCTGTTTGCCAGGGCAATGACATATGAGCTAATCTTGCAGATTGTCCAGGCTATTTTGGGTTAAAAAAAAAAAAAAAAAAAAAAAAAATCTAAAATTTATCTTTTAATGGAGGCTATGATTCTGATTAGTGCAAGGAGAATAGAAAGCTTCAATTTTAGGGTGCTGTTTTAACTGCACCACCTCCAATTTGTAGGCTCCACTCAAAGACATAGATGACAAATTTTCAAACATCTAACCCATTATACCATATCAAAAGGCTTTAAACCAGTTTTAGTCACATGGGGCATTTTGTTACCCCCAAATTTATCAAGTACTTGTAATTCCTAGTTGGTAACTTGTTTCTTTTGCTCTATCCCATTACACTCCCGACTCAGTGAGGGTGTTTAGTATGCGGTGCAGCTCAGTTGTTGCGGGAGACAGACACCAGGGGATTATTCATTTCTGGAAATACAAGGTGACTAACACAGAGTTAAAGAGATTACAAATTAATGAAGAGCTCTATGGTACATCAACACCTGTATCAGTCAAGAGGCAATAAAAATTATTTTCAACAAGATTCCCATATTTTAAAAGTTATATTCAAATATCTTTTTTCTCTCCCAGGAAAATATGCTTCTTATCACACACAGAAAGAAAACTACAAAAACTGTAAAATTTACAGAAGGTAGTGAAGGAAAACCAGAAGAATGGATTAAACATGAACTGCAAGAAGACAGAATGCATGGTTGTCAGCAAAAGGAGGAGCCCAAAATGTGAACTGCAAATTGTGGATACAAAAAAAAAAAAAGTAAAATAAAAAAGCAAAAATAAATATGTGGTAAGTGTTTTACCAATGGGTGGAAAATGTGACACTGAAATCCAAAGGCACATTGGGACAGCCAAAGATGCATTCCAAAAGTTATGCAGATTACTGAGAAATAGAAAAATTTTGCTTAAAACAAGGAAAAAGATTACTAAACTTATACAATATCTGTCCTAGTGCATGGCAGTGAGTAATGGACAATTTACTCAAAGATGAAGGAGAGACTTTAAGCAAGAGAAATTTGGTTTTTCAGAACGATGTTGGGATACCATGGAGCAAATATGTGAGCAATGATGAAGTTTTAGAGAAAATGGAAACTTATTTTGAGGGTAGATAATGAGAAGGAAAATCTGATACTGACAGATCAGACTGAAGGCAAGAGGAGCAGAGGAAAACTATGCATAAGTGAGCTTTAGTAAATGGATGGTGGAACAGGTTTTAGGAGAAATAACAAAGAAGTTGTGGAGAGCCATGATTGCCTACATACTGAAGGGACATGGCACATGGAGTTCATTAGCTGTTTTTGCTCTTTCTGGTATGAATAGGTGTTTCCTTCCTTCCATTTTGGTTAAGGTAGTGTGGAAATTCAACATCTTTGTTTTACCATTATCCCTACCACATCCAAGGATCTTTACAGTAGGAAAATCCATTTGGCCAAAGCTTCCCACCTCCAACACACTTACTAAAATTAAAGTTCAAAAGATAAATAAAACTAGAGCTTTACTGTTCATCTCGCTAGATGCAACTGTCATTACTACTTTAACAGTTTCATTTCTTGCACTTCCCACCTGTAGAACTCACTTCTGATTACTCGTTTTCCAGATAATTACAATCTTTGAAAATTTGCTTGGGGTGAAATGATGGGGAAAAAAAAAAAATAAAAATAAAGGATAAGAATTTGCAACTATTTACATCATTAGGACTGTTATCCTCATCTTTATTGCCATATTCACAATGTTTCAGACACCATACATATCAGCCTTCTTCAGGTGATATACACTGGAATTTCAAACCAATCACTGTATTTAGTCCATGGGGCAGATTGTTCTAATTCCACATGCCATGCCTGTTTTGGATATCTCACTCTCAGTTAATTACCTTTAGTAACTCAATTCTCCAAGTTTTTGTTCCTTCTGCTATGGCCAGGTAGTGAACTTACAACTCTTTGGGTCAAGTCACTTTTTGGGATTATTTCAATCAATGCTTTGGTCCACCGAGCCATGTGTCCTGGTTTCAAGTGAGAGAAATTTCATTTGGCAAAGGATTTATTTTATTAAGAATGTTAGACTAGTTTCTTTCATCTTCTTGCTTTTTTTTTTTTTTTTAAATATTGTAAAGCTCAGGCAACTTTTACATTGTATGGCCTTTAAGTAATATACAGTAACTTTGAACAAGATTTTAACTTGCATCCTATATCCATAAGTGTCCATCATGAGCACCTATGGATACAAGTTCTAATTGCAACAGAAGCTAATTTTTGTTTAATTTCATTTTGCAATATACACTGCTTACCTAACAGTCACAGAATGTGGAGACAAGTGCTGCAATAATAGTTAATTGAAGCTTCATCTGTGATGTTTATTCCTGGTGTCACTGGGAGTCTTGCACCTCTTAACAACAAAAATAAAAACAAAACACACTAGACCAAACCATCAGCTTCCCAAGCTCACAGTTGAATCCTCAAAATTATCTGAAATTTAAGGTAAAGGTTTCATTTAACAAATTGAGATCACTTATTCTGTTAGACATGTAAATTTTTTTTTTACCTTGTTATGTTTGGAGGTATTGGTGGCTGCAAGAGGCATACTATGCCTTCTCTTCTTTTGTTGCTGCTCAATAAGAATGTGCTGATAAAGATTTAAAAGGTGGTGGCAGTCTGTCATCTTGCAAAGAGTTTCTGGAAAAAAAAAAAAAAAAATTAAATTTATAAACACACATAATTCTGTCTATATTTCTGAGAGGAGATATTGTAACTATTTACATTATTTATATTGTTTGGACGTTTATCCTCATCTGTCATATTCACAACATTTATATTTACTAAAGAGAATTAAATGATACCAAGATATCCAGAAAAGGCATGGCACATGGAACTAGAATTACCCCAGTGAACTAAATAAAGGGTTCATTTTGAAATTCCAACGTATATAACCTGAAGAAGGCTAGAATGTACAATGACAGAAACGTTGTGAATATGACAAAAAGGAGGACAACAGTTCAAAAATGTAAATAGCGTAAATATATAATTCTAGTCTAAATTTTACAAGAGTTCTATTTATTTTGAATCAACAGCACAGAACAAGAATAGTCATGAATTTCTTTTAAAAAGACACTTCTAGGAATTAAAATTTTCAGCTTTTCTTGTGCCATTTGCAAAAATCCTAACTAATTATATCAACGCAAATCATTTTCTTTTACCTGGCATTTCTATATTTACTAAGCTTTGATCAGTCTGGCACAAGGTCGCAAATTGCTTAGACTTACCCCTATCTAAATACTGACTGGATTAGGTAACCTCAGTGATAAGTGTGATTTGTAAAATCTGCATCCTGACTCAAATTGTTTCTGCCCAACTAGAAGAAAAATATTCAGTAAAATAATATATAATGATAAAAATCTGTGACCAACTGGCTATAATTTAAAAAACAAATCCAAAGGTGAGATTCTTAAAATTAAAAAAAATAAAGTTTTCATAGATGTTGTTTACACACCAAAGCTTGCATGACCCAATACAACAGCAAGAGCAGAAACAAAATCCAAAAGAGAATAGCAACAACAATTGTGACAAGGCTGATTCTTTATGTGCCATGTACCCTCAGGACATAGGTAATCATGACTCTCCACAACGCCCTATCCTTTGTAGCTCTTAATAAATTTTTTTTCTTTGTTATTCCTCCTAAATCCTGTTCCACCATCCATTTACTCAAGTAAATGGATGGTATGTTAATGCATTTTCTTCCTGTCCCTCTTGTCTTCAATCTGTCCTGTGAGTATCAGATTTTTCAAGCCTTCTTTCCTAATTATGTGTCCTAGAAACCAACTGTCTCTTCCTGATGTTAAGCTTGCTTTTTGTTTCCATTTTCTCTAAAACTTCATTGTTGCTCACATGTTCATTTCATGGTATCCTCAGTATCCTTCTATAAAACCATATTTCTGTTGCTTCTTCATCTCTGAAGAGATTGCTCAACACTCACTGCCATAGAGGAGGACATATATCACGTAAAAGTTTAGTACTCTTTTCCTTCTTTCTAGCAGAGATTTTCCATTTTTTATTACTCTGCTTAGCTTTTGAAATACATCTGTGGCTATCCCAATACGCCTTTGGATTTCAGTGTCACACTTTTTGTCCTCTGTTAAAACACTTCCCACTTGTTTGATTTTGGTATCTCCAATTTGCAGTTTGCACTTTGGGTTCATCCTTTTGCTTCACCAACACAAAAACTGATCAAGGACCTTAAATATAGTCCCTGGATTGAACCACTTTTAACCAGCAGGGGGTGCCAAACCTCCTTGCTGATTTGAATACAATTAGCTTCTATGTAGATCAAACATCAATCATGTTATAAAATTGACTTCTGCTGCACTCTAGCAAAGAGAATGCCTTGGTTCAACCTACATTATGCAGTTGTGTCTCATTACTTCTAATGTGTGTCTGTGGTTCTAATATTTTATTCTTTGTTACAGTTTGTTTTTTTTAAATTTGAAAACTGAAAATGTTAAAATCAGTTGCAAATTCCCCATTATGTAACAATTAACTTGTCTGTTTTATATATATATATATATATATATATATATATATATATATATATATATATATAGCATCTTTTTTTATATATAATGATCTTTTTTTTTTTTTTTTTCTGAAAAGTGTCTGGCCCTAAGAGGTATAAATGATAGTATACCTCTAGTAAAAGAAAAAAGAAAGAAAATAAAAGACACTGAAGATGAGAAACAATAAAACCCTACCACACATGGTTACAGAGCTTGAAAGAATAAGAGAAAAAGAAAAACATTAAGGAGAGAGAACAATAAAAGAACAGGAATTAAGATAGATGACAACTGACACTGCATTAAAATTTTTGAAGATCAAAGTTGATTGGGAACTAAGAAGCTGGAAGAGAGTTCTACAAGCAAGAAGTGCAAATAAAGAAACTGTTAGCATAGAACTTACAGTTACATCTAACCATTCCAACTGTAAAATGATGAGACCTAGCGGCCAACCTAGTACTGCATTCAAATTTGCAAAGTTAAGGTATCAAAGAGGAAAGCTTACGTTTGTGTTCATCAGACAACCATTGGACTTGATCTGATAACTCTTTCACCTTTTTGTTGTAGTCATCTCGTTCTTGGGTTAACTTTAGCAAGGCTTCTTCTCGCTGTTCCCCAGCCCTAAGGAAGAAAAAAAAAAAAAAAAAAAAAAACACATTGATGTCTATACTCATTTAATGACTAACAAAATTTTAAAGTAGTTTAAAATATTTTATTCATTACAATCCTTTAGCATATCAGCTTATATTCAAGTATCCACTTTTAAATTTTTATAAAGTTCTGAATTGCTGTTTAGGATTGTGTTTCAAGTTCTTTTCTAAATTCTACTTCAACTCTGTATTTCTAACATCTCCACCTAAACTCTGAAATTGTATTTATTATTTATTTACTTATTTCCCCTCCCCCCAGTAAGATGGGTTCACATGCTCCCTTGGTTTTTAAACAAGAATAGAGGTTTATTCCTTGTTTAAGATTGTGTTTCCAGTTCCTTCTAAAAATTTTTCCATCTCTTTCACTTCTAGTAGCATTATTGCCTTGCTTGTGGTGAATTGATTAAAGAAAAAAAACCTGCAGAAATTGAAATGGCTACTATGTCTTGTCTAATACCAACCTTGAATGGGCTATCATTTAAAAGTAAAAATATCCAAATAAAGATAACATGGAGGAGAAAAAAGTATAAAAACCAGAAAACATCTGTTCAATGGCTGGAAGTGTGTTAGAAGCTGAAACATCAACTGAATCCATGCTATCATTCTTGAAAGATCATGATGAGTGTGGGGCCAATATAATTTGATACATCATAGCTTTCTTCAACATAGCCAAAACAAATAATACATATAAATATACAGACTGAAATAACAGTACATTCAGAAGTCGAAAAGATCCTGCATCAGCTGCCCTTACATTGCAAAAATAATAAACCAAGTTGAATCTGCAAACAAAAACAAATCTAGTGCACGCTTTCTTTTTGTTTAATTTTTCATCTATGGATGAGCATTATTTCAAACATCTTAACCATTTTCTTACAAGCAAGAGATTTTCTTAATCAGGCTCAAGCACCTTAAAAAGGTTTTTTCTTCAAGTATAGAATTCTTGAGACTGGAAACCATATTGCTGCTACAAATATGTAGAAAATATTTTGATTGCATAACTCGGTAATCTTATGTTGAAAAAGAAAAAAAAAAATAGAAATATCAAAACTTAGATGACTAAAGAGAAACAGAAACTCTCATGATAATTAAATTTAAAAAATTGCTGTAATTCCTGTATGAAAAAATGAAGTAATTCTTGTATATTTTCTCAAAAGGCATATACATTTATTCCAGCTGTATGCAGAGAGAAAAACAGATGTTGCTTCAAGGTTTGTTTTCATGCAAATTAACCATAGATTTATTATCGCAGGCAAACGGTATTCAATAGACTGCTACCAAATTTGTCTTTATAAACTAGAAAAAACAGATTACAGGTGTCCCTATCAAAGAATCCATTTTGTAGTTTAGGTACAAAAGCTTTAATTATAGAAAAAGTATTATATTCATTGCCACCAACAATCTTTCAGAAATAATGAAAACAAAGAAAAAAAATGAGTTAAACTGAAAAGAGTGATCTTGATAGACAAAACATCTAAAATCTAGAGACTAACTTCTACAGCCAAGTGGCTGGAACATGGGGGAAGATCTAGTTTTGAATCTCACCATAGTAAATTTGTCAAGGACATGACTTCTGGATAATATTGGCCTGGAGAAATGATACCAGTGTATGGTGCTGTTGGGTAATGCTTGAAAAACCAAGTCTGGCAAGTGAAATTGGCTAGACAGAACTGTTCAGAATCAGTCAATGGTTAGGCAGTAACAAGTCATAGCGACTGTGGGTCTCAGCATACTGGCACTGTTAAAAACTGCAATGATCACCCCAGATTATATACTCTTCCCCAGAAACTGTAACTAATGTTTGCTCAGCATCGTTACAGTATAAACTGCACATTGGCTATGTGGGTATTGAAGAAATGCAAATGTGCCAGAGCAGATGTCTGCAACAGGATTAGCGAGCCATCCTAGCAGACAGGTATACTCAGAAATGAGCAACCAACCAATTGCTTATAGTTTCTTTTCTTAGCTGACATATATACTCTTTTGTACCAAATACAAAGGCCATCTGGAATATGCCAGTGGGAATTTTTCAACTTAAAAATAAGTGTGCTGATTCAAATAAATGTTCTGCCAAGAATTTTTATATAAGTTTATCAAACATGGAACACAATTGTGCAGGGGATAAAATACTTAGTACATTAATGTGTGCTGTACCAAATGGAAAATTTATGGCAACAATCTGTCCTGGCACTGGTATTTGCTGCACAAAGGTAGGCCAAAAATAGACCAATATGGATTACCAATAGACTAAACAGAATTACTGAAAAGTGAGTAGCAGCTACAGTAGTGTGTGGAAGACAAAAATGAAGATTATGCCCAAATTAAGATAAAAAAATGTTTACTGCTGGCAAGTTGATTTTTCACTTTTAGAAAATCAACATTGCACCTGTTGTGAAATCTGGGGTTTGATGTGATAAGTAGTGACACCAAAAATTAGATTATTAGCTTTTACCAGTGTTTGAGCATTTAATTTTAAAGATATGTATATTTTCAGACTAATTTCCACAGGTTTTTGCTTAAAAACTGACTTCAAAATTTTATTATTTCAAGAATAAATCCAAATAAAGTTGATATCTTTTGTATTAGATACACTGAATTGAAAATATATTCAAACCAGAATTCTAATTAAGAATCCCACAAGTGAAATACAATTTTTTATTACTGTCCAATAAGTGAAAAAACTGTAAAAATACAAAAAAAATGAATAAGGTTTGTTAGATTATTTGATAGATCATAATAAATAAAAACAAAATGTGTATATAACACCATAAACTGCTGAGCACAAATTATGAGACAAAATGTTTTAAATTGGCATTGTATATTGAAAACCAAACTAAAACTACTGCACTGTATAACATCATAATATAGCTAAATTATTCAGTATAATTTCCCTTTGAAGTAAGTGAAGGTCTTATTTGATGGAACAATGATTTAATAAATGTACTTGTGCCTTGCATTGTGTCCATATACAATTTGTAAAGCTTCAGTAAATTATAAATTTTATAAGACTTTCATTGATCACTGAAATGAAATTCCAATGCTATGATCTTGAACCTAAAGTTAATCTTTTAAACTTGTTTCTTCAAAAATACAGTAACAATTTATAAAAAAGATTATTTATATTTTGTGTCATGTCAAACCCCAACTTTCAAATTGAGTGCAATACCATGGTTCCAAAAGTAACTTGCCATACTGAACATATTAAATCAACTTACTTTGCCAATTCCTGGATGAGATTTGCAACTCTTAACTTGTCTTCATGGCATAAATCCTTGAGGAAAACTTTTCTTGTCTCGTTTATAAAATTTTTGCCATCTGATCTTTGGGAAGTGTTTTGGCTTTCTGTGGAATTTTCACTAGCAGCCTAGAAACAAATACACAAGTCATTTTTATATAGGACTCATAACTTATTAACACCATTGAGAGTTTAATGTTTATGGCCTTTTAGTGGTCATGGCTTGTATGACAAGCAAGCATTTTTTTTTTTTTTTTTAAACATTAAGAAAAAGTTCTGGAAATTTGGTTTCAGGTTACAAAATTTTCAGACAGATAAAAAAAAAAGTTAAAAAGAAAGATTCATTTTAGCTAACCCAACAAAGTAAAGGTCTAATTTAGCACTGTGTTTATATTATAAATCGATTCCCCATTCTAAAATTTTTTACAATTAACCCCCCAAAAATAAGGATTCAGTTTAGCTAACCTGACAGACAATGGTCCCATTTAGCACTGTACTTATATTGTTATTTGAGTGCCTTGCTAAAAACTTAGGTTTTAGAATATTCAGAAACTAAAGTGATAAAATATTCTGGGCAAGTGGGGGGGTCACATTAGTAATAAAAGGAAACTCAATAAACATAGACCTTCGTTCCTGCAATATGTCAAAAAGGATGTTTTTTGCCATGACACTGCTTTTATTTCAAAAACCTCCACTCTTCAGCATCATTTTTTTTTAAAAAGTGAGGATTAGAATTGTAATAAAACAAACATATGATAAAAGTGAATTTATACTTTTTTGTTGTTCTTGAGAAATTACAACAGACACTATTCATTTATATTAGTGTTTTTGGGGTTTTTTTTTTCAAGAATAATTTCATATTTCAGCACACTACAACTATTACAATTAGAACTAATGCAATGTAATATTTATCATTTACCAATTTATAAAGAAATTTTTTTATTCATAAATTTATAAACATTTATTAAAATGTTTGAACAGATTATCAAGAAATCCTTATTATTTACTATCTTATAAAGTTTGAATCAATTGACAATTAGCCAATGTTTTGGCAACCATTCCAATAAATAATCTAATAAATAATGTAAATAAACCATCTAGTAAATACTTTATTATTTTTGTTGTCAATTCTCAAGAACAAAGAAAATGTATAAATTTGCTTTCATATGTCTAGGTTACAATTGTAATCATTACTTTTTAAAAACAAATATTGCTAAAAGATTGAAGGTAGTTAAAAAAAGCAAAAACTGTCCTTTTGCCATGCCATCTTATTGCAGGCATGAAGGTCCAGGTTTACCAAAAATTTGGTAGCCATAGTTATGTGAGGACAAACAGATGGAAAAAAGACATTTGGTGATTATTGCTGGAAAATTAAAATAAGGGAGAAAAAACAATTTGTTTAAAAAAAACTTAATTAATGAATTAATCTTTTCCAAAACTGTGTAAAGAAACAAATTATGCGACTTAAAAATGACTTATTCATCCTACTTTGATTTGTTCTTTTGAATTGTAAGAATTAACTTATGCATTTTAAGACTATGTTTATTTAACCCATTTCTTAAAAAAAAAAAAAAAAAAAAAAAAAAAAAAGATTGCATATCCAAGGAATATAAAAGCAACACATTCACTTAAGTCAATAACAAAATTACAATCTCAACATTCCAGATTCTTTCTTTTTTTTTTTAAATCTGTGAATTACTATGAATTCTTGAAAGATAGAGTGATTTCCAACTTGCCTTATCCATGGTTTGGAATTCAGAGTTTTCATTCTCTTAGGCTGGTTAGCATACAAGGCTAGAAGGTCTAGTCCACTCTGCTATTAAGCCCATAGGAGAAGAGAAATGGATTCAGGTCTTTCCTAAAGGCATTTATGTGAAAGTGAAGGCAACAACCCAGCATAGAATTTAAACTCAGCTAGGAGATTCCACTTTCTATGTTGATATCCATTACACTACATGGAAGAAATCTGATGAAGTCCATAAAGGACGAAACATGTCACAATATATTTTTCCACTTTGTCATTAACTTTCCTAACATTATGTTATATGCATAACACTACAGTACAATATAAGTAAAAGTAAATAACTGAAGTCATAAATAAAAGAAAATTATTAATATTTTATGGCTATTCAAAAGCATTCAGAATATGCATTAATATTTGTTTGAACTTTTTATATAGAGTGTCTGAAGTTTCCTGTGTGCTGAAGAATCTACAAGATTATGAGTTCTAATGTGGCATCTCGGTTCCTGTCACTTTCCCCATCATTGTATCAGCTTCCCTCTGCCTTTTCTATAAATATTTTTATGGTAATTGTTCTGATGAACTCTCCACTTTGACTTTCATTATGCAGTCATTTGCTTTGACTTTCATTATGCATGATATTCTTTACATTGACTACATCACGACAGAAAAGGTGTGCAGCAGAATGAATTATCAGATAAATGGTTATAAAAGACATGCCAACTACTATAAACAAGAAAAAAACTGAAGTGGCATCGCCATGTAACCAGATTGTGAGGCCTCTTCAAGACCATTCTACAAGGAACAGTACAAGGAGAAAAAAAGAAAGAGTACCAAAGAAAGATTGATGGATTTGTTTTTTTATGGCTTATCTACCCTTTGCAGGTTATTTGAAACCAGAAAATCTCTTTAGATTCTAAGAATTTTTTTTTTAAGATAAGGACTTAATGATAAAAATTAGCTGGGGAATGAATAAGTAGATTCATACCTTTCCCACCTCCAAAGATATTTGCATCTAAGTGAATATAATAAACCCAAATGGAATTGGAACTTGGATCTCCAATTTCCAATTCCAAGCCATTATCCATTACACCACCCACACATCCAAGCTTACAGCACATGGTACCGACCATTCCCTAGATGGGTGACTGCATGGGAATACCATGTGCCAGAGAAAGAGATACTTGGACAATGTTGCCAAATGAACTGGCAAATGTTTTGCCCAGACCCAGACATTGACCAAATTAAGTTGAGATTTCTTGTTGAGCAAGTCACCATGTAGTGCCCCTGATGAGTTATGGGACAAGGATAAGAAGAAGACCTGAGTGGCAGCTAGATCTAATTTTACTGTTAAGATTTCTAAGGGTAAGTTCTATACTAATAGTTTCTTCTCTTGCACTTCTTGCCTGTGGAACTCTTTCAGCTTCTTGCATTCCTGTTGATTATGATCTTCAAAAATTTAAATGCAATGTTCATCGTTATCATCATCATCTGTTTCCCTGAATCCTGGTCTTTTTAATGTCCTTTCTCCTCAGCAATGTTTTCTCAGTTTCCATCACTTTTCTTAGTAAGCCTTTGCATTGGAGTGGCTTTATCGCCTTGCCCAAAGTTAAATGAAAAGAGAGGAAAAAAAAAGTGGACTATTGTCTCAAGTTATATTACTATGCTACAGACCTATTAATGTTTTAACTGGAATGGAAAAAATACACCATATGCATATACTGTTTGACATCCTGAGTAAACTTCACCTCCCCAAATGTTTTGAATATCCAATAGCCAGACATAAGTAATCAGAAGGAAGAAGAAAGACTAAAACATCATTGTAACAAAATAATGAGGAGGCATATATAACTTATTTTTATTAATAATAAAATAATGATGAGTCTGCTGGGCAAAAATAAAAGAACAAGGAAAAATGCTTACATATTCATTTGTCAAAGGGGAGACATCTTTTATAACATGTCCAGAAGAAGTGGTTGAAGACTTCGGCTGAACTTTGTAAGGTTGCCATTTGAGGCTTTTTGACTTTCTACTGTTAGTGGGATCAACACCTGGTAAGGGAAAAACCACAAATCATGCATAAAAAAAATTGTTATACTTCAATATTTTATGGCATTACCTTCACTCACTACATGCAAAAGAAAAAAAAAAAGAACCATTCAACAAGTGATGAGATGATACTTTTAAAAATGGAAAGAAAGGTATAATTTAAGTTTTAAGCTGTTTGAAATTCTTAAATGAAGTATTTTTACCAAGTTTTGATTAGTTTACCTTACAGTTGTTTATTGCAATGTTTAAGTTGATTTTATTTGATTTTTTTTTATTTACATTGTTATGGATATAACTTCTCACAATCCATAGGATAAGCATGATTATTAGAAGAAAAGAAATACCAGGACCTTGCACAAGAGTTGAAGCAGTACATGAAAAGTTGTGCACATAATTATTGTAATGCGAACCTTCTTATTGATGGATTCCAGGAAAGGCTGGAAAGTGTTGAAGAAGGTGCTAGAGATTTGAAGAAAATGTTACTCAATCTCCAGCAACATGCACAAAACTCCTGGTATAAACATGAAAATACCTGAATAATTAGCAAAATTTATTACTCCATGTGTTTGATTGATTTGGTCGGTGGGATTTTGAATTTTTTTTTGGCCTATCAACTTTTTGTGGGTTACTTAAACCAAAAACATACTTTGGAGTACAAGAAGAATTTTTTTTTTTGTGACCAAATATTATTCTTAAAAAAAAAAAAAAAAAAAAAATCAATTTACAGTCCTAATATTATTTAAACCATAGATGGCAGTAGGTTGAAACCCAGGTAGAGATTCTCATTATTTGGCAGAAAGCTAACTTCTTAATGTTATTGGACTGAAGAGGTGATCCTAGCATGTGGTACCTTTGGAAAGTGCCTGAAAAGCACACTATAGGTTGACCTAAGACATGTGAGTGAAACTGGGTAGATTGGTTGAGTTAGCACAAAGTACTGGCCTTATTCAGAGTGTTGATCCAGATAATGCGTGCTCTCTCCCAGAAACCCTAACTAAGATCTGCTCAGCACAGTTACAGTATAGACCCCAGGTGGGCCTTGTGGGTGTTGAACAAATGTGCCTGAGCAGGCGCCTGCAATAGGGACTGGCTAGTTTCCTTAGACAGGCATACTCAGATGCCAGCGACTAGCCATTTTACAATGTTTAGAAATTCAGACAAATTTATGAGTAAACTATTAAGCAAGGAATGATGTGGGGGGGGGACCCCAAAACACCTAGACACTTACCAGGGATATAAGCATCAGCACCTGGACGGGAACCTTTAGAATCTGTATATGATAGATACATAAAAAAAAAATTTTTTTTTTTAATTATTTTTTTTTTCAGCAATGAAATAAGAAAAAAAAAACAAACAAAATTTGTTAATTAAAATATATGTACACCAAATCTTTCTACAGCAAAAAGAAAAACAGTTTATTTGCTAGTGTGTTTGATCTTCATTGGAGATACCTTAATGCTGCAGCCATAAATAAACTTAATACACATCTATAGAAAAAACAAATTAAAAAAAAAACAAAACAAATAAAAAAAAACTTAAAAAGATAATTATAAGTTATGATAATATATGAACTATAGCTAAGGAATTTCAGCATTTTTTTTCTATAAACTCCTACAGAATGTAGTGGAAGAAAGGACTAAACATCAACTGCAAGAAGACAGAATGCATGGTTGTTAGCAAATGGAACAGCTCAACATGCAAATTACAAATTGGAGATACCAAAATCAAACAAGTACAGCAATATAAATATCTGGGAAGTGTTTTGACAGAGGACGGAATGTGCAACACTGAAATCTGAAGATACCTTTCAAAATCTAACCAAAGCATTTAAGAAACAAAGAAAAGAGTGCTGAGCTGCTATGTAACATCAGTCCTTCTATATGGCAGGGAATGAAGAACAATTTCTGCACAGATGAAGAGACTTGAAGTAACAGAAATGTGGTTCTACAGAAGGATGCTGAGAATACCATTGACTTAACATGTGAGCAATGAAGTTTTAGAGAAAAATGGAAACAAAAGACACTTCAGAAAGAGATTATTGAAATTTCTAGGGCACATAAAAAAGAAGAAAATTTGATAGACAGAGGACAGATTGAAGGCAAAAATGGTCAGAGGAGAACAACAAATAATCTGCTTAGTGAGCTCAAGTAAATGGATGGAGCAAGAAGGCTTAGAAGAGATAACAAAGCCAATTTAAGAGCTACAAAAAAAAATTGTGGAAAGTCATGATCTCCAACGTCCTGAATTGACACGAGAGTTAGAATATTTGTAAAAAAAAAAAAAAAAAAAAAAAAAAAAAAAAATATGAACTTTAAGCAAGACGAGGTTCTAAAATAAAATACTCTGGAAGTTGAAGATTCAGTCAGACCACCTCATTCAAAATCAAATGAGATATAGAAGAGAGAATCTGTTAGATGCTGATTCTCAATGAATAAAGACTTATTTTAAAAATAAAAAGCAAAGAAAAAAAAAGAAAGAAGAGACCTTGCACAAGAGCTGATGCAGAATATGAAGGATCAGGTTATGCACCTAATGCGAGTCATCTCACTGACAGTACTATTTGATTTGGAGAAATACTCACTGAATTACCAGTGACTAACATAAAAAACTCTTGGTGTTTCAAACTAAACATGAAAAAGCACGAGTTACAAAAAAACTGAGTTAGTCACTCAATCTTTAGAATTCTTAAAGACTGGATGATTTTTAAATCCAATAATGCGATTTTAAGCACAAGCGTAAAATGTTGAGGCAATTAAACTAACTTTCAAGATTTGATGTTTTAAAGAGGAATAACGAGTATTATTAAAAAAAAAAATTCCGGTCTTTGTTATTTTTGGCGCTTTGAAAAAGGAAATCAAATGAAATAAGTTATCTATACCACTAATTTTATCAAATGAATGAATGAATAAAGTTTAGGTAGCAAATTGCAATATGAAAATTGATAAAAAAAAATTCAGTCACTATCAACAAATGATAAAAAAGCCCGTAGAAAAATCCAAACAAAATAATGAAAGAAAAAGTAATGATAAAAAATACAAAACAAATGAATTAAACTTGAATTTTTTTGTATTAAAGTTTAAACGAAACAAACGAAATTTTACTGAGAACCAAAAACAAAGTGGAAATTAACAAAAAAAAAAAAAAAAAAAATGAATAACAATTTTTTTTTTTTTTTTTTTTTGGTCATTACAGAGAAAAATGAGCAAGATTTTTGTTTTTAATATTCAAGCAAAAAAATAAGACTGATAAAAATCAATAGGATAAAAGAAAACTAAGAGACAATGTAAATAAGATGAATTTGTTTACGGAACTGGAATAAAGAACTCATACTCTGACTGAAATTGACTTAGCAACGAAAAAAAAGCATTGTGCTACGAATTGCAACATAAACAGTTGTTCATGGTTACGTTGTCGTAATTATGTTGTATTTACCAAAGAAACTTCAAATTAAAAAGGTCCTATAAAGAAATATTCGATATTTCAGACAGCTACAGATATATTTTAATTTTTTTCATAAGGTCTAACTTTGCATTAACAATTTGTCAAATGTTTAAAAAAAAAACTCTTAAAAAAATGAAAAAAAAATTAAATAATGACGTTCACTACCGGCGTTGCCGGTGAAAGTAAGCAACGTTTTTTTCGCCTTTTTAATTTTTTATTATAATTAATTAATTATTATTAATTTTCGCCTTTTTAATTATTAAGATTATAACCAATTGTAAAGAAATATAAAGTTAAAATAAGTCTACGAGTGTAAATACATTCCTTTCTTTTAGAAAAATCAAAACAAAAAAATCCGATAAGTTGATGACAGACAGGTCATTTTTTATTTTTTAAAAAGACTAAGTTTTTTTTTTTTTTTTTTTTTAAAAAAAAGTAGAAAAGAAAGCCAAGTGGTTCAGCTGTTTACCTTCAGTTTTCCAAAATATCCCGTTAGTTCCGCAGGGATGTTTTCGTAAGTCATTATTATGCTTCTGGCTGTTAATATTTCTTTTGACATTGTGTGATGTCGTTATTAGCGCTGACGCCATTCTAAAACCACCGTCACAAATCCGTGACGCACGCGCACTTTATTTGGGCCGTTCTTTTGGGGGACTGTTTTTTTTTCTTCTTCTTCTTCTCTTCCTCCGACAAACACTTGTAGCTTAATGCCAATTGCTAGTAAAGCCGAGCTTCTAAAAAATAAAAATTGAATTAAGACGTCGTGCCAAAATTCGTTAGTGCAAATCTACTAGAAAAAAAAAAAAATAGAAAAGTTACTTTTTTTTTTTTTTTCACGGGTAACGTAAGTTAAATGAAATCAGATATGTCTTTTTTTTTAACTGTTGATTTAATTTGCATATTATTTGTGGCGTGATTATTAAACTAAAACTTTAAGAAAGTTATTTAAACTTTAGAAAAAAAGTTCAATAACCACGCCACAAATATGACAGTGAAATTTAAATTAAAATATTACTTTTTTTTGGATAAAACATTCTAATAACGACCTTCGATTATCATATTGGAGAATGGGAAAACCGGAAAAGTGTAGGTAGTAAGAATACTACAGAATGACTGTGTCACGCAAATAAGACAATATTTGTAGAGACCTATTTGTTACTTTTATCAGAAATTTCCTATTTCCATCAGCATCAGGACGTATCATCTGATTTCTACGTTAGAGAAATGGGGAGGTGTTACACATATGGATCCTTAGGAATCAGGATTCAGTGGATTTTTTGCCCGTTTCAGACGAGACAGGCAAAAAAAAAAAAAAAAACACTGGGACAGAACTGTCAATAAGTAGTTGAGGAGCAGGTAAGGCTAGTGGAGCTTTTGTTTGAGAGAGCATAACATTTTTGGTCTTAGAAATACAATAACATTTGAAGAAGTTCAAGTGTAATTTCAGTTTCGTAGTGTTTCACTTTTTATTGAAAATCTGCGACTCGAACAAAAATTTGATTTTTTTAAAATGAAGAATAAAAACTTTTTTTTACTGTTCAAAAGTTTTTGGATATTATTGTTGTATTTTCATTTTTAAACTCTTTTCTGGGTGTAAAAGAAACATTGGATCTAGTGTTGTGTTACCTTTGTATTTAGAGAAAGATTCACCTACATTAAAGTAAACAAGTCTTTCGCATTAAACTCAATCAAGCATTGAATTGAGCAAAAAATTAAATACACACTACTACTCACATAAACGATGAGCACCATAGTGGCATCGTTAGCAACGAATCAACTACACACACAAAAAAATAATTAATTTGGATACACAATAATAATGTTAATGACAATTCTACGTATTTGCTAAAAATTTTCGTCTAACTACAGCGAATGATTTTTTTGAACAACATCGAGTAAAATCGAAACTTATGGCAAGCGAACAAAAATTTTTTTACTTTCGCTTTTTAAAAAGTTTCAACTTTCAAAGTAATAAAAAAAAACTTTAAAATATTTCATTTAAAAATATTTTTAAAAGTAGTAATATTTTTTTAAAATTTAATTCTCTTAATTTAATCAAATCAATAACGATACTTTATTGCCTCAAAGTCAAACTTAAATTTATTTTCAACCAATCGGATACTTATTTGTTTCAACGTTGTCCGGAACAAGTTTCTTTTTTATCATAAATAAAAAATGACATCAAATTCTCTAAGCAGCTCTTGCTTAGCTTACAGAGTTAAGAAAATTTTTACTGATATTTCTGTGTAATGTGTATTGCTTCTATAAATCGATAAAGTCATCTACTTTTTTTTTATTCTTAAAACATTGTACAATTTATTTACTTTCATTGGAAAGTAAGGGAAAAGTCAACTTTACTTTGACATTTCAACACACTACATCGCAACCTCTCGTGACTTTTATATTTTTTTTATTCTTAACATAACAGTAAAGAACTAAATGGATGAACCAGAACATAAAAGGCGGCTTCGAACAAACCGACCCTTTATTGTGGATAATTTACTTGGCGTGGATGAAGTACTTGATCACATTCGCTGCGAAGAAGTGTTAGCTGAAAGCGTCATTGATCGCATAAGTCAGATAAAAGAAGAAAGACAGAAAATTCGCTTGCTTTTGGATTTTCTCGATAAGAAAACACGCGATAAGTTTGACAAATTTTGTTCCATCCTAGACAAAACGGATAATAGTTTAATTGCAGCAAAACTCAGAAATTCTGACACTTCCTCTTTTCCATCTAATCATGAAAAAGTTCCGGTAAAGCGGTTCGGGAGTATGAGTGACGAAGATAAAGAGATCTTTAGAAAATTGCACGTGGAATTTGTTGAAAACATGTCAGATGTGGAGAGTGTTATGGACAGCTTAATTAGCCAGGAAGTACTGAACCGCGCCCATAGATCACTCATTTTCCAACACAGAGAAAGACGACAACAGGTGAGAGTGTTACTAAATATTCTCCTCAAAAAAGGAAACATAGCCTTACCAGCGCTACTTACCGCTTTTAAGACGTCGAGTAATGATTATTTATATGAACAAATACTGAATAAAAAGGAAAACAAATACACCAAGTTGTAGCACTGAAAAATGAAGTAGTAACCCTTCCAAAAGATAAGAAAGATAAAGATGTATTTTTTTTGTTGTTGTCAAGTCAACGCAATAAAATACATTATTCATTTTTTTACTTGATTACTGTGAAAAAAAGTATAATTTTTTTATGAAGCGCATAGGAAATCAAATACACATTATGAAATAAACAAGGAAAATTAATTCTAAAATCTAAATTTTTAAGAATTAACATTCAACCGCAACTGGTCGAAAAAGAAAGGAATCATGGACTAATAATTTATAAATAGTTTTTTTTACTTATCATGCTATATCCAAAATTACCAAAAAAAGGATTAACTTACTCTAATCATCTAATGAATGTCGGCCATTCTTTATCCCAGGAACGTTGAAAGACTGCACCGGATCGACAAACAAACAGTTTTTGTCCAACGAAAACTTAAAAAGAACTTTAAAAAAAGTTATATGGAGAAAAGTTTAAATGTTTAATCTGGAAACTTAATCAATACTTTTTCGATGGATTTTACAAGTGCATCATTATAAAAAAGATGTATTTTTCTCTTCCTCTCAACTACTTTTTTCTACTAAAACTAAAAATAACGAAATTTCTTTGACAATTTGACAACTTTGAAAGTAACAATATTGCAATTATGAAGTTTCTTAGCTTTCTTGCTGCTATATAAATTTATTAACACATTTACTTTTTTTTCCTCAAGAAAAAGATTATTAAATAAATGTTTTGCTGTTAGTGTTCGTATGTCTCGGAGTGAAAGATTTTTAAATTTTAAGAAAATTTAAATTAAGAGGAGAGGTGGAAGGGATAATCAATAATAATAATAATAAAAAATGTAATGAAAAATCTCATCTCTTTTATTAATTTAAAAAAAATAATTTCTCTCATCAGAAAGATGAGAGAAATTAAAAATAAAATTCCAAAAGTTGATTATTAGTTGATTACTACTTTTCTTATTTTTTATTTATTGCACCCATAGAAATAAATTCCGTAAAAATATTGATCATTTAAGGTTTAATTCTGCAGATTGCTATTTTAACTTCTGGGATTACATATCACCTGAATAATATTGATTATACTTTTAAGTTAAAGACCAAAAAAAATAAAATAAATAAATAAAAATTGTCCATTGTACGATTATAAGATAGTGAATGAATCTAAACATGTGAGTAATCAATATTAATGATTATCGAACTAATTTCCTCGCAGATGAAGAGAAGACTTGAGCCAACATAGTTCTGGTTCTATAGAAGAATGCTGACAATACCATGGATGGAGCATGTGGACAAGGAATCTTTGAGGAAAATGGGAACAAAAAACACTTTTGCTTAGGATCAGAAAGAGAGAGTTGAAATTTCTTTGCCACATAATGAGAAAAGAAGGCTTGGAGAATTTGACACTCATAGGACATATTTAAGGCAAGAGGAACAGTAGGAAATCCTGACTAATGTCCCTAACGAGCTTGTGTAAACTGATGGCAGAACAGAGAGTGGGAGGGATAGTAAAGAAACAAACATTACTTAGAGCTACAAAGGATAGGAAGTTATGGAGAGCCGTGATTGCCCATATCCTGAAAGTATGTGGCACATAAAAGGATATATTTTAGACATTTGTCAAGAAGTAGTTGTGCAATTGGAGCTTCTCGCATGAATGTTTCTTATTTCTTTTGTATAGTTTTCCCTCTTACAATGTTCTCAGCCAAAAACTTGATAAGAGGAGACAAACATTGCCTACAGCTACAAAGAATAGAAAATTATGGAGAGTCATGATCTCCCATTCCTGAAGGAATGACACATCAAAGTTAGAATGTATGAAAAGTGCTATGGTAAAATAATTAGGGAACCTGGTCACTTTTGACAGTCGATTTATTAAAGTAAAAATGTATTGAAAGTGACTACTTAATAAAATGCTAAAGCTAAAAATGTACTGAAAGTGACTACTACTTAATAAAATTCTAAAGCTAAAAAAAATAAAGTGACTACTTAATAAAATGCTAAAGCTAAAAATGTACTGAAAGTGACTACTTAATAAAATTCTAAAGCTAAAAATGTACCGAAAGTGACTACTTAATAAAATGCTAAAGCTAAAAATGTACTGAAAGTGACTACTTAATAAAATTCTAAAGCTAAAAATGTACCGAAAGTGACTACTTAATAAAATGCTAAAGCTAAAAATGTACTGAAAGTGACTACTTAATAAAATGCTAATGCAACTGGGTGCCTCATAATTGTGGCTTTGTCTCAAAATAAGCTTTTATGGTGACCCCCAAATGTAGACTCTTGCTCTTGAGTCAATTCCTTAACTGAGTATGATATTTCTTTCCAACTTAACAGTATTTCTGCTACCCTCTAGTGGGAGGTGAGGTAATCTATACTATAAAAGTTGATTGTCACTCAAATTGGCATTGGCCAAACAGGCAACTTTTGGTCAAAAAAAAGTTTAGCTGTAAATTCACCAGGTTTAAATGTAAACTATGTGATCTTTTATATAAGTAATTTTAAATTTTCTTTTTCTTTTTTTATCTCACATTTCCAGCAGACTTTCTGTAAATGTTGAATTTCGCTTTTAACCTAAGCATAAATTTGTTTGTGTGAAAACCTTTACCTTCTCTTTCACATTTGGTGGCCTCATGCGTCTTGATGGCATTATCATTTTATTTAAGGTGTTGCTTTTTACTGTGTAATCCTCTGTCACAAGTTTCTCTTGAGCCTTGTACAGGGTGAACATCACTGTTAAAAAAAAGAAAAAAGAAGCTAAGTGGAGTAAATATATAGGTGCTTTGCAGTAGTGTTGCCAACTGTCCTGCAAAATGTGGGATTATCTCGCATTTTGAGAATCAATGGTTCTTTTTTAAAAATTACACATAAAATTTGCTTTCTTTATTTTATTTTTAGGTCAAATTTGTTTTTTTTTTCTGAATTGCTGTTCTATTTTTTTTTTTTGTTGCTTTTTGATGTTTTATTCCAAAATGCTGTACGCTTGGATGTGTGGATAGTGTAATGGTTATTAGCTTGGAATTATTAATCAGAAAGCCAAGTTCCAATTCCATTTAGGTTTGTTATATTTGCTTATGTGCAACCATTGGGAAAGATATGAATCCATCTCTTCTCCCACCAGCTATAGGTTAATTAATAAGACTTGCATGACTAAATCATTACTGTCTCAAAAAAATTTAAAAAATATTTTCTGGCTATAAATAACCTGCAATGGGTTGATCAGCTGTAGAAAACATATCAGTCAAACAATCAATGCAAAGAATATGTCAAATTGTTGATCTGGAATGAAACAATTGCAAAGTAAAGACATCAGTGATATTTGCACTAGTGAAAAAAATGTTACATAATGTTATCATGTTTTTTATATTGCTTTTCTTAAAATACAGTTTAGATCCTCTCTAAAATTCTGTTACCTGTTATTTTGTATGATAATCTGTTACACATGACTTCTAATGACTGTACCAAATTGATTTATTACCTTCTTGGCGGTGAAAGGATTTTTAAAAAAAGCTAGAGTTAACAGTGGATGTGTGAATGGTGTAGTAATTATCAGTTGGGAAAATGAGATTAGGATATAAAGTTCAAATTCCATCAGAGTCTGTGCTGAGACAATTGTAATCACTTTTGCATGAATACTTTTGGAAAGTTATCAATCTATCTCTCCTTACCTTCAGTTAGAGAATATTAGTTGGGCAGACTAGACACTGCTGCCTTGGTTGACAGTCTAGGAGAAGGACAACTCTGAATTCAAAACTGATTAAATATGAGGATAGCAATCCTACCCCATAAAAAATAACACACCTGGTCAGAATTTGAACATGACTCTTCAATTCCACCTTTTGTGCTTTTTTTTTTTTTTAAATCATTTCACCCAAGCAAGGAAATAAAGCAACTAAGAAAACAAGGAGTTCCTGAGTGTGAAAAAATGAGAAAAAAGAAAAACTTATGAAAGAGTGAGAACAATAAAAGAAGAGGAATCAGGAAGATTGACTTAAATTGATTTAAATTTTTAAAGATCAAAGTTGGTTGGAAAGCAAGTAGACGAGGATTTTGAGAAAAGAAACTGTTAGCAAAGAACTTATAGTTACATTAAGCCAATTCAACTGTAATAAGATGAAATCTTGTTGCCAATCTAGTACAGAGCTTAAATTCATAAAGTCTAGGTACCCTAGAGCAAAACTAACTTGAACAATTACCATGAAAATATTGATAGAAAAGGCACAGGGAATCTATGTTATGGTGGTGGGAAAGTAACAGAAGTCGGGATGCTAGGTCAGGACCAATAACATTGCAAATTCTTCTTTGGATTTTATCAAGAATCTCAAAATATATAGCAGGAGCACCAGTTTTAATTTAGCTTTGTAGTTATCTAGATTCACTGGTTGGAAACCCATCAACATCATGGTTGGGTAACCTCAGCCCTACCATTCTGCATTTTCATTATAGAAAGTTGGCAACCCTACCTTGCTGTGAGGTAATGACTAGTGAGTTAGTCTAGTTCAGTAACCGGGGTCCATATAGACCCTGGTGGGCCATGTAACATTACTAGGGGTCCACACAAAAAATAGCAAATTGGGATTCCATTTATTTTAGTGGTCCATAGAGCAATTTTACTTTTGGAACAGTCATTACAACTGAGAATTAGAATTTCTACAATAATATACGCCATATTAAAATACTAAAAATAGAAAACAACTCTAAAATTAGCATAAAATAAGATCAAGTGGTGTAAGTTAGCATCCCTTTTATTCTACTGGATTTTTTGATTGTAAAAGTTGAATAAAAATTGAGAAGGACATATAAAGCAAGGATTTTATTTTATATATATATATATATATATATATATATATATATATATAAATGAAAATTATATAAAGATTATAATTTTTATGTAAATAATATTAATTTTAAATATTAATAAAATAGAATATTAATGTAAATTAATACTAAAAAAAAATATTAAAAAAGTAAAATATTAATACTAAAATTAATTTAATATATAAATTATATAAGGATTATATATGAAGAAGGATTAATGGTATTAACCTCTTCAGCAGCATCGACCACAAGGATCTCATTGAATAAATCTGCACTTTTTTTAATTTAATAATTCTTCACATATTTTAAAATGAGCTATTTTACTTGTGTACATAAATGTTCCATAGAATTTAGTTGTTAAATACAAGTCTATTTTCATTAAATTAGTTTTACTTCAATATAAAGCATATATATTTACTATTTCTATAATACAATTCCTAAACATTTCTATTAGTAAAAAGTAAAATAAGCCTTTCTTTTCATCAAATGATTATGGAGGTCCACGAAAACAAATTAAAATAAAAGTGGTCCATGGGTAAAAAAGGTTGATAACCATTGGTCTAGTTGATCGTTACCATTGTGAACGGTAACATCCATCTTTGCCACCACCACCAGAGGTGAAAAAGGAAATAAAGAGAGAGAATGATGATTCTGATGTGAGTGGGTGCTGGTGACGACAGAGGGAATTTGATGTTCATTTGTCATATTGTGCTAAAGTTCTGGCTGTATGTTTTCTTTCAAACAAACATGTTCAAATTTATTTGCTTTTAAGTTTTTGTATGTTGTCTTCAGTAATGTGCAGGATGAGGTGGGGGTAGAGTTTGCAACAGCCTTGTGCATCCATATTGAAAAGGCATCACCAAACTTTTACACGTCACTGGCTGTCTTAGATCTTGTGACCATGGGTATCCCAGAACCCAGTGTCTCCTTTTCTCAACTCACTGCTAAGGTTACCTAATCTGTTGGCATGCATCTCACCCTGATTACTCACACACTCAAACAGAATTGTGATGAATAGTAACTAAGCTGGCTGATGGTCTCCCTTTATATCCATTTTGACCAGTGCAATAAATCACTTTTTAAAAAGGTTTAAAATTCCGTCTCTTTTGATTGGTTGAAAAATAATCTTGAGAAGCAATTCTCTTAAACCTTTTTTTTTTTTTACCAGAACATTTCTTTTTTTCTAATATTTTTTTATTGCCCTGTAGCAGACATTGTTGCCACAATCCAGTCAGAAGCAAGGCTTATAAAAAGTCTTGACCATAACACTTCATTGGCTGGAAATGTCTTTGCTTGAGGTAGTGTAAGCTTACAACCATATTACACTGAACCACCAGTTCTCATGCCATCACCAAAGTTAATCAACGTCAAGCCTGGTCAGTACCTAGATGGGTGAATGCTTGGGAATATCAGGTGCCGTAAGATTGGATGTGCAGGTGGTGTAATGGGTAATGGCTCAGAATGAGAAATTGGAGAGCCGAGTTCTGATTCCAGTCAGTTTTGTAATATTTACTTAAGTGCAAATACTCTTGGGAAAGGTATGAATCCACCTCTTTCCCCCCAGCTATGAGTTAAGTAGTAGGACCTTTATCAGAAAATAATTATCTTCAAGAAAAATTCTTACAATTCCACAATACTTTCTGGCTTTAACCTGTAGAAGGTTGATAAGCCATAAAAAAACAAATCAATCAATTTAGGTAGTGGAAAGGGACAGATATGTTTGTTGTTTTTTTTTAAATTAATTTTATACACCATCGCACAGTAATGGTCAGTGGAACTAGTCTGATTGGCCATTGTGTGTTCAATCCTCACCATATGCTTTATTCAAAATTTGACATTAAATGACCCAATTAAAGCTGCCATTTAGTAAAAACAAACCTGTCTATCCATAAAGACACCTCAGCTTGGGGTGATGATTAAATGAGGCTAGTCTGGTTGACTATTATAAATTAGTAGTGAGTTCAGTCCTTACTAGGTGTCACATTCAGAATTTGACATTAAATAACTCAACAAGGGTTGATGTCATAAAATTCAACCAACCAACCAATAGTAGAACTATAAGCAGAAGAAGTGAAAAGAAAAAAGAAATAAAAGAAATACTCATGAAAATTTTGTGGTTTTTTTATTTGAATTTTCTGATGATTGAATAAGCTCCTTGCGAGTTTTTCAACTATGAAATGCTTGCAAAAATTCCCCTATTGCATCATTAAATATTTGAGCTCAACAAATTTAAGAAAATATTGAAATAACACTCATAAGTCTGAATGCAGGGAGCACTTCGACTTTGTGTAATGGTTAGCAAGCCTGTCTTGCTAGATCAATTATGACTCAGTAGTGAGTTTGACCCTCACTGGGTACTTCACATTTTCAGCCTTGTGCTACACTTAGAAAAATCACCATAAGTATGAACTCAGGTCATTTAAATAATTAAAAGGGTACAAATAAAAAAATAATTAGAAATAACATGTTTTTCCATTTCACTTAAGCAGATGTTAAACACAAGTGTTATCAACTCCTCGGTCATCCTTTTCTTTCTTTCTTTTTTCTCCCTGAAAACAAACAGCATCTCTGATATGTCTTTTCTCAGGATCACATTGGAATAGTGTCATGTAGTGGTTTCACAGTGGAGGCTTGTATTTGTACTAAGTCGGTCCTAAAATAGGTTCGACGTACAAAATGTTAGAAACTTGATATAATAGGTAGTGACGCAATAATCTAGTTGTGGTGGCTGATACTTTAATATCTGACTAACAGTCGTCCAACATCGACTGACTGACCAACTCCCTCCGCGACTACTACTACTACTCCTACTTATTATAGGTGGGAGAGTCTATTAACTATAGAATAGATGTGTTCAATTATAACATCCTCTCCTAAAACTTTACTCCGTAGGAGTAAACGGTTTTTTTTTTATTTATTTTTCATTTTTTTACAGAAAATATGAAGAAAAAACAACCAAAAAAAAATTTTTTTTTTTTTTTTAGCAACATCATAGTGTATTTCCTACATTTTTTTTTCACCGTATGAATTTCGAATCCTCGTGGGCAAGTGTGTTATGGAGTACGAATGTTTTTCTTCCTTCGTATGAATCTGAATACTGTTGCCAAGTGTTGTATGGTGTATGAAAAGTTTTTCTTCCTCCGTATGAATCCAAATACGTTTGTCGCCAAGTGTTGCATATGGCGAACAAATTTTTTTTTTCTTCCTCCGTATGAGCTCGAATCCTGGTTGCCAAGTTGTTATGTAGTATGAAAAGGATTTTCTTCCTCCGTATGAATCCAAATCCCTCGTTGCCAAATTGTTATGTAGTGGTTTCACAGTGGAGGCTTGTATTTGTACTAAGTCGATCCTAAAATAGGTTCAACACACAAAACGTTAGGAACTTGATATAATAGTTAATGACGCAGTAATCTAGTTGTGGTGGCTGATACTTTAATATCCGACTAACGGTCGTCCGACATCAACTGACTGACCAACTCCCCCCCACCGAGCGACTGCTACTACTACTCCTACTTATTATAGGTGGGAGAGTCTATTAACTATAGAATAGGTGTGTTTCATTATAACAAATAGTCCATTATTTATAAGGTATTAGCAGAGTGTAACATATGTGCTAACTAAGGAACAAGCAGAATTATATAATGGGCTGTGGCTTGAATTTTGTCCATGTTTGAAATCTGATGTTTGAAATAAACATTGGTTGAAGTGACTTTAAATTTCACGGGTAAAAAAAAATAGGTTCAGGGTTTCCATGCTCTCACCTCCCCTAAAAAATAAGATGAGAAGACTGTCAGGCACCCCCCACCTCACTAAATGAACTGTTGCACTAAGAATCATAGGAGATGGCTTGTAGGAAAATACAGTGCATAGCAAAAAATGCTTCCTATATAATGGTAAGACAGTAAGAAGTACTTCTGGGTGGATACATGTTGGAAGTATTTCTCCCACACCCTGTATATAAAGGAACCTGCAAAGACAGTGGTTGCGCTGAGACAATTCTTCTTAGTGCTTCAGCCCTACAGGTTGTGCTCTTATTCAATGCCTCTTCTTTGGGAGTGTGCTAGGGTTAATCTCTGAGACATGAAGTGTGCCCAAAACAGGAAATTCCAAGGAGTCATTGAACAGTTTTGTCCCTTGTCCCATGTGTTAGGTTAAGTCATAAATAATTTCTGTTTTTATCAACTTTATTCTTTAGAAAATCAGCTAAAATTACATTTTATTCAAGTATATATTCACCGTTATTTGCAATGTCTTCTTGCTAATTATCAGGCAGCTCTTTGATACCTTTTGAGTAAGATTATGCAGGTTTCAGTGTGAAGAATTTTCCAACAATCTCTTGAATCTGATTTTCATTAGAGAAAATTTTCCCCATCAAAGTGTTTTGCAGGCAATAATTGGTTGGTGCAAGGTCAGGTGAATATCGCAGGTTGGGATGTATTTATTTAGTGGCATATCAACTCCTCATGGGTCATTTAATGCTGAAATTTAATTTTTTGGGGAGCATTATTAATTTCTTTTATGAAAATATATTGCTGGTAATATTTTTACTATGAAAATATATTGCTGGTAATTTTTATTTTTTACAAAAATAAATTGCTGGTAATAGTTTTACTATGAAAATATATTGCTGGTAATTTTTATTTTTTACAAAAATAAATTGCTGGTAATATTTTTACTATAAAAATGTATTTTTATACTTTCATAGTGTTTTGACATCACTTTGTGGTTTTTAACAATTCAATGAATCTTCCACTTTCTTAAATTATAATTTGTGATTTATAGGTTAGATATAAGGAAAAAAGATGGCCTGAATTGAAATTGACAGCCATCAGCTAAGGATTAATGTAGAAAGAAGAGAAGTTTCAGGCAATTCAAAAATTAGCTTGAGGATCCTATGTGACAAAGCCAAGTGAATAAAAGTCCTTGTAAATATAGAGCACAATATCTAGAGATAGAGCAATAATAATTATTAGTAATGAAATAAAAAGTTCACTTTACTTAGATGATACTATACTTGGAGTTTCATGGCAGATTTCTTGGCAAAGTCACCAAGAAATCTGCCAAGAATTGGATGTAAAAACTGATTCCTTTTCTATAGCACATCAACCCTTTGCAGGTTATTTAAAGCCAGAAAATATTTTTAGGTAATAGGAATTACTTTTTGTGGGGAGGATAATAATGATTTAGTGATACAAGTTTTACTAATTAACCCATAGCTGGTAGAAGAAAAGGTGGATTCATACCTTTCCCAAGAATATTTGCACATAAGTGAATACAATGAATACAACTGGAATTGAAACTTTGCTCTCTGATTAACAATTTTATGGCATTATCCTCTACACCACCTACACATCTAAGCTTACAGCACCTGGTATTCCCAAGCAGTCACCCATCTAGGTACTGACCAGGCTTGATGTTGCTTAACTTTGGTGATCATAGTGGAACCGGTGTTTCAATGTGATGTGGCTGTAAGCTGGAAGTAAAATGGCTGTAAGCTGGAAGTAAAATGGCTGTAAGCTGGAAGTAAAAAAAAAATGGCTGTAAGCTGGAAGTAAAAAAAAATGGCTGTAAGCTGGAAGTAAAAAAAAAATCCATGAAACTCCAAATACAATATAAATGAACTATTTTATACTATTTCTAACATGTATATGTAACATTTCTAATTAAAAAAATAGGGGTTTATATCTAAAAAAAAAACCCTGGTCTGCAGTAAAGTGTAAAAATTCTAAAAACAAACTTAGATTTGGCATTTAACCTATTTTGACTTTTTCTGTGTGATTTTCAGTGCCACAAATAGATTAAGCATCACAAAAATATAAGAACAGAGGTCTTTTAATACATGACTGACGAGGCAGATTTTTTCCTGACATTTCTTTCTGCGGTAGACCAGTTACCATCCAAGTCTATAGAACTCGGTCTCTCCTGCTATTTACCCATAACTGGGGAGAGAAGAGGATTCATACCTTTCCCAAGAGTATTAGCATCTAAGTGAATGTAATGGATTCAGAATATATTTATAGAAAAGGCACAGGGAAGCTATGTTATAGTGGTGGGAAAGTAAGTGAAGCCAAGATGCCAGATCAGAACCAATAACATTGCACATTCTTCTTTGGATTTTATGAAGAATCTCTAGATACATAGAAAAAATACCAGACCAGCAATATTCAATGCATGGTAAGATTTATAAATATGTAAAATAGATTCTGTCAAGAAAAATTGTCTAAAATGACATAACCAATTTTTCTTGCAACAGACCTAGCAATTAATTAAACATAATCTTTCCATTTCATATCGGTGGAAAATGTTAATTCAAGAAGGTGCAACGAGTCATTCTCCTGGAGGTTATCATCAGCCATGTTGATGGAAGGCAGAAAGGGTCCTCCTAGACGATTAAATGAAAGCAGTTTTGTTTTGGAGGTGTTAAATATTAACAATCCATTCATTGCCCCAGTTAACAGCAGATTGTGGATCATTTTTAAGATCAACTGCACATTTGACCTTATTGAAACAATCAGACTTACTGTGGACTCATCCAATATCCTCACCTTTCCAACCTAAAAAAGTACAGTCCACGTCGTACGCCTACGTACTAAAAAACCTCAACCAATAGAAATGGCGGAAATCGAAGCAAGCAACCCCATTGGTCAATCACTTACCAGAAACAGAAATTGCGCCAAAACGAGTTGAGCCACTTTTGAAAACACAAATAATATAAAAGAAAAAGCAGACAGCCCCATTCAGTCAGTCTTGCTAACTCATCGAGTATTTGCTAAAATACTCCACGGCGTTCTAACCATAATTTTGCGGCGCTTCAAGGAACATTTACTGACTCTAATCGAACATTCAACGAACGACTCTTGAAACTCTTTACTTAGCTCCTTATATATAATGAATTATATTCATTACTAAGATAAGGAATAAAAATACGATTAAGGGTAGACTACTTCAAAACTCTTTTCCAAAACCCTTAAATTTCACTATCACAATCTTCGACATAAACAAAGAAAATAACGAACATTCTGAAACAAGAGACATTCATTATCTAAACCATACACATACAACTTACTTTTACACGACCCACACAGATTTTATCCAAATTGTAAATGACCCATTGTATATAAATGTTGTATTGTTTTTAATCTATATATGTCTCGTTTTTCTTGTTTTGAATATAACGATTGTTTGTTTATTTGTTTGGGACGTAGTGAAACACGCAACCATTAACAATAAACCCTTCTGATACATTTAACGACACCGATGTCCCAACATTACTATAAAGACAATAAATTAAATTAGTGGAAGTCAGTTTGATTTCATGTGAAACTTGGTTCATTGATGGTTCACTTTCCAAGTCTTTCAAGAACTGGACAATATTGTAAATTCTGTATAAAATGTTTTTCTAAATTGATTGATAATTGATTTGTTTCTTACGGTTTATCACCCATTTGTAGGTTATATTTATACATTGTAAGAATCTTTTTGGAGATAATAATGATTTACTGATACAAGTCCTACTAATTAACCCATAGCTGGGGGAGAAGAGTTGGATTCATGCCTTTACGAAGAATATTGCTCATAAGTAAATATAATGAACCTGACTAGAATTGGAACTTGATTTCCAAATCCTAGCCATTATCCATTATACCAGCTGCACATCTAAGCTTATTGCAACTGTTATTTCCAAGTGGTCATGCATCTAGGTATTGACTAAGCTTGATGTTGCTTAACTTTGTTTCATCATGATATGGCTGTAAGCTAGCTTTTTTAAAAAAAATCAATTTTAATGTTTATAAAAGCTGAACATTTATATGAAATCTGACATTTTCCACAAACTCTTAATAACTCTTCATAATTACTTAATGTAAAAATGTCGATTGTCAAGTAAAACATTTGCTGCATTAATCATTAATATTGTCTTGCACAACCAATGAACCACACAATGTTGTATGATGGGGGTTTTGGGTGGTGGTGGTTGTAGTGCAGGGTTAGGATTCATTCACAAATTGTTATGGATTTGAATTAAGGGAAAGCACTCAACAATATTCAAGTCTGTGCATGCAGTTTTTCCAAATATTCCGAATTATTTCTTTTTATCCTCCTTTCTTGCCCTACCCTCTGTTGCTAAGGGATGAATAGTCAGTCCACAAGAATATTTGCCCATCATTTTGGGCCTATTTGCTTAGGCTGAGAATAAAAATAAAAAGCCATTAGGAACGTTTTTTTTTTTTTATCAGAAACATCTAAGGTTCGATGTTTAGCCGCAGTGTTTACAACTGATTTATATATATATATATATATATATATATATATATATATTTAAGTTATGAAGAACTTGGTAAACCGAATTGGTTAATCCAAGGAGGATGAAATCCTGAAAGCTCAATGTGAAGAACAGAGCTAATATTTAATAAAAAACAGACCACTTTAAGGTACCATTACAATAATTTATTTCACTAAAATCCTTTTTAAAGGATTTCAGATCATCAGGTAACACTTCCAACAATGAAAAAAAAAAAAAAAAATATATATATATATATATATATATATATATATATATATATATATATGTGTATGGCACACATTTAAGCATAGCTTAGATGTAGCACAAGGGTGAAAGTATGGAGCACCCAGTAAGGATTGAACTCACTACTCAAATCAGTTACGAGCGAGTAGTGAGTTCGATCCTCACTGGGTAGTCTATATTTTCAGCCTAGAGCCACATCTAAGCTATGCTTAGTAAATTGGTAGATATGTATATATATTCATCTCTGATGATATATATAATGCATGAATATTGGTCTCTGATTTTATACACACACATATATATATATATATACACATACACTCATCACTGACGAGATATATATATATATATGTTAAACATTTAGTTATGAAAGAAAAGGAATATAAATAAAAATGAATATACATACAGATGCACACACTCATCTTTGATGATTGATGATATATATATATATATATATATATATACCGTAATTCCCCATGTATAATAAGTATTTTTTTCTAAAAAATAATAAGCAAAATCAGGGGTGCATATTATGCACAGCTACAAAAAAATATGAAATTGGAGAAGTACAATTTATAGGGTTTGATTACCAAACAAGTGGTGTGTATTACAAGCATTTTCCCACATTTTCAGCACAATTTTAGGTGTGCATATTATGGATGAAGGTGTATATACATGGGGAATTACAGTATATATATATATATATATATATATATATATATATATATTCACACACATACACACACACACTCATCTGACAATACAATACACACACACACACACACACATATATATACATGTGTATATATATATATATATGTATATATATATATATATATATATATATATATATGTATATATATATATATATATATATATGTATATATATATATATATATATATATATATACATATATATATATATATATATATATATACACATATATATATGTATATATATATATATATATATATATATATATATATATATATATATATATATATGGGTTATGGGTTTAGTTGTGAAAGGGAAGGAATCATGAAGATTATGTTTTTTTAAACAACATGTCTTTGTTTAATATACAAAGTTTTGAAGGTGTTGAAAAATTGGTGAAATTTTGGTTGCTGATCATCAGGATGGCATTTAGGTGTAAGGGTAGCAATGGGAGTTGACCAATTTCTTGGCTTGGATTTTTTGAGGTCACATGATATAGTCGTTGGTTGGTTCTAATGCATGTGCTGGTCAATTGAGATCATGGTGGTGGGTCAATTCATGGTAGTGTGCATTGGTTTCTGAGTTGACGAGGAATTGGTGTAGCTGGTAGACCTATGTTTCCACAAAACGGAGTTGTGGTGATGACTGCAAGGGAATGCCTGTCGTGAGTCAGGTATATTGAGGTGTTGGTGGTGGCAATGAGGAATTAAGTGTAGCTTGTAGGCCAGGGTTTCTATGAAACATGGTCGCAGTCATTACTGCAAGGTAATTCATGTAACTAGCTATGCCAAGTTTATGGTTGTGGTGATGAGGGAGGCATGTAGCTGGGTGGTGATAGCATTGAAATGATATAAATCTCTGCAGTTTAGCCTTGGGAACCTGGCAGTGTCAAAGCTGGATATATTAAGCTCTGATGATGTATATTAGGGAGTAGTGAGATTTTGCTCAAAGCTGCACTCTTCATAGATTGTTCCTTATATATATCTTAGACCCTATGCCAAATTTGAAGCTGATAGGACGAGGCTTAGTCTTGGAAATCTTGCATGCATTAAACTCGTCTTATTGATAATTGGATTGTTTCTTTCCAGGTAAACCAATACCTGGATGTTCAAAGAACACTTCAAAAGTAACTAGTCACAAATTCTCTTGAAAATGGACAAAATTTGGCATAGTGGTGTTATCAAGTACATGCAGAAAAATGGGTTTAGACACCAAGGAAATTCATGCTTA